TGATTAAAACACTGCGTATAACACCAAACGCAACTACAAAAATTGCACCTTTTGATGCTCATTTCGGCAGAAAGGCTAACACATCATTGAGTTATCTTAGCACGTCACCAAAATTATCTTATCTTTCATGGGAGAACACTAAGCTATCATGTTTAAATTTCTATCGAAACCAGCACTGACACCAGAGGCTATGTGGAATCGGGATGCAAATAGCGCGGACGAGCTTGACCTGGCTTACAAAGATCAAACAGTTAAACCAATGGACCCACAGTACGTGCCAGAACCCATCTTCAATCCAGTACCTGCTGTGGACAACATGGCTACACATACCCAGGTAAGCACATCGGACACTATCAAATAAGGAAAACGTGCAAGAAACCAACAAGATGCCGCAAAAAAAAAAACGAATACGATCGCGCCTGGCAGCAGTGATGAGGAATTCGACCGACTACTATTCGAAAAGTTCCTAATAGGTGCGCATCTACCGCTCTGAAATAAACCATGCGATCTCATAGGACTCTAAAAGTCATTTCTAACTGAAAAAACGATTCAGAAAATTTGAAAACACGTAAACTGTTAAGACCACTGACCAACCAAGAAAATCAAAACCTCAAAAGAGCACCGCTGATCTTTCTAAAAGGCCGTTTCAAAGGTCCAGCACACACAATCAATCCCAAATCGGGACTTCGACTGGAACATGTCGCTAGAAAAACAGCAACCATTGCAAGGAAAATCAAAAATCCAGGGAGATTCGGGGCACAATTCAAAATTAGAAAATGGCTCAATACTAAATTACTCTCCACACACTGCGTGGATAAAGGAGGACGGCAAACAACCTCGAGTAATTAGGCACGATGGACTTGCTTTCATACCGGACGGACCCAAGGGTCTATGGCAAGTGTGGGCCAGCGGCCTTGAAAGATTTTGTGACGTATAAACACTTACCGAGGTCCAAACCACACGTTTCAGGGATAAAGTCCACAGAGCAACACACCACAAAGGATAGCACATTTACAAGCCCCAAGCGGTCACCCCCGAAAACAGTCCAGGTCATTCAGCAAACACTGAACAGGAGGGCGTTAGGACCAAAGAAACTGTTCAACCCTTCACAAGTAGAGCCAAAACAACCATACGAGCAACATAAATTTCAAGATATAATACGCCGCACCGCCAACCGAAAACGAAATCACAAGGAAAAATGAGCCCCAAAAAGAAATCCAAGGTCGACTTATCACAAATACAATTCGAGTGCGACAACTCGATTTCGCTATCGTCGGATACGGATCTCGACCACAAACAATTCGCCATCACTGACCATACCCGCCGCTAAAAGAATCGACATTAAGGCCACACCAGAACACAAATCACCGGAGATCCGACGCTCAACTAGACCGAGAAAAGGAACGCTTACAACAAAATTTGGAAACGCAATTCCAATTGGTCAAATTTCGGATAGCAATGAACCACCAATAGTAATAGCAGTTATCCAAGAAGCAACAGCAACAGTAAGCAAACAATCAATGCGGTCGAATATACTCCTGTAAATACAATCCCTTTACCACAGTTTTCGTCAGAGGATATCATGTGTACTGAATTCCACATGGACACGGCAACTCCCGAAAACACCAGAGAAACAAATGAAAGCAACACCTCGCCGCTCAGAACTACCAGCTCTCGTTACAATCTCGATAAACCCAAAACCACTGAGGAGTCTTTCAGCAAAAATTTCCAGGAAGCTATGAGTTTCCTACAATCCTACAACTAGCCAAACAACACTCGAGCAAAAGCTAACCACAGGATACAACAAACACGAAATACGAGAAAGAGACGCAGAAGCAAAACACCAAGAACACCGACAAACAGGACACGGAAGAAAATTGATACACTCAATTAATCAAAAAGATGGGAATGTTATCCGTACGGTTAATTATAGTAAAATATCCATTAATGATGATATAGATTAAGTGCTAGAATTACCAGTTGGTAACGCATACATATTATAGACTTAACTTACATTGATTAACATATAGCGGTCTGATGATTAAAAAAGTATCTAATTATACGTAATGACATATGTACTAGTTCTTATGAGGCACTGTCTCTCAAATGATTCGAGGTCAGTGTCAGCCAGACTTAAACATAGAGTTGAATTTAAGTTGTTATCTTTCTTGTCTCATTTCTTATCGTGCATTTACGCTTCACTAGAACATCGTTTATACCTCACCTAACGGATGAGGGTATAACGCCACTGAAAAAAAGATCGAATGCCAAAACTCCATCCTTCGACATCGCTTGTTTTTGGAGCGATACCGCTTGTTGACTCCTAAAGGCGGGGTAATCATGGCTTCTAGGTGTGGGACAAGACTCTTAATATAGGTTCTGACGAGATTGCGACATTTATCCTACTTTTTTTTGGATCAATCGAACGCACGTCACAAATTAGACGAATATCGTACACCATTGGCCAGCACTTTCAATTTCTTTTCAAAAGAAAGGGCGGGAAGCAATTTCAATGCGATTAGGTTCGCGATGAGAGAAAGAAGCAACCAATGATTGGGCTTCAGGAAACTCGTCAGAAAGAGCATTCAAGGCAGCTTGTTCAAAGTCAAGATAAATTTTCTCTAGATTGATGTTCGCGGCTAGTTTTTTTCAAAAAAGTTGATAATAATCGACCGTAAGTTTGCACTAGCACGCTACAACACTTACATGAACTGCATGATCTTGACTTAAAAAAGGCTCACTTGAAGTTGCTGTAAACTAATCAAAAATTGAAACTTTCTAAAGCTGAGATCATGTCCGAACTTTTCATGCTCGCCCTCTCAACTTTCAGATTCAACGAAACTCTGATATACTGACCGAAAATCAAACTAGCGCCCAGATGGATAGGGACAATTCACTTTTTTTTCGTTCCTTCGTTTTTGTTGCGCAGTTTTAGTCAGATATGCGTTTGTTGGAAGAGCAAATTGAGTTGAAATTTGTGTGCTGGGCTGAACTTCGGTAGCTTGTGGTGCAACTTTCGATGAAATCTTTCACAGGTTGGAAATCTTGTCTGGCTTCAATGCCGACTGCAGAGACTTCCTGGTCATGGCCGCTAAGTTGCACGGCGACTTCGTCGTTCTCAGAAATAGAATGCGTCTCAGCCGAAATTAAGTAAATCGAAAAAGTTTTAGCCGAATGAACGAAATCGTTCAATCAATCAATGACCCTTAATGAGAATTTCGACCTCCATCGGTACTATTCAATGCCATTATTATTATTATTGTAACAAATAATAAACTGCTAGTAACTTCCTTTCTTCTAAGCTCAGTAGTCTAACACAGATACTTTGGTTGCCTTGATATACTTAGATTTACCTCAAAAAAATTCAATAAGCTCGATGCAACTTCAAGCGGCACCAGATACTACGAAGATGTAGAGCACAATTAGGATTTACTGCACATCTCCCCCCTATGATATCTGCTTAATTCTCCCCCCAATGTATCAATACAGTAAATTATCACAGAGCTTTATATTGCGAATTCCTATTTTGCAGCATTTTCACTGGTCAAATATTCGACTGTTTGCGTCTTATGCACTAAACGTCCCAAAATCAAATTTTCTACACCGTAAGCTGAAAATTATGCGATCAAATTTGATTGCTTAATTTTAGCAAATCAAATTCAAGTTAAAAATTCAAGTTATTCCGATCAACATTTCAAGCAGATAAAATTATTAGCCGAAATTTCCGAAAAGATGAAACTTTGCCCAGACAAAAAAAAACTTTAAAAAATGGCTTGACAAAACAAAAATTTTTTTGTATCATTTCGGCTAATAATTTTATCTTCTTGAAATGGCAATTATTTCATTTGAAATGGCAGAAAATGTCGATGGAGCTTGTTGGCTAATTAGCCAATCAAATTCAACCACATTAATTTCAGTTCAAGAGATCTAAAAATAATAATTTTGGGCCGTTTAGTGCATAAGACCCGACTGCTTTAATCTACTTAACAATCCCTCCCCCCCCCGCGCTTTTTTTCTTACAGGGGGGATTGTTAAGTAGATAAAAACAGTCGAATGTTTGACCAGTCAGAATGCTGAAAAAAAAGAATGCTGCAAATACCATTACTCACACTGCCTCACAAGGAGCTCAGACTCAGAGCATCATCGCCTAACTATTTGGAGTAATGTGTTGCATACAATACAGTCATTTAGTGTTCGTTTGAGACCAGCTAACGCTTACACGCCACGTGGAATTGAACGCTTCTAAAATTTTACTCATGAAATCATTATTAAATTAGAATTTAAATACACTTATCACAGTATTTACAGAATCAGAACTGACAAAGCAATCAGTTCATTAAAGATAAGACACGTAAAAAGTATAAGAGTAAACGAAAACAATAATTCATCCGCTACATGAAAAGTGATCCAATATCGTCGAATAGTTAAGCATTACCTTGAAACCAATTTTTCAAACAAGTCATAATTGGATCAAAAATCTGATTAGCATAATTCTAAGACAAAATGTTCTACAATATTTTCAACTAAGAGGTTCAATCTTCTGTTTAATAAATCAATAACATAGCCAACTAACAGTTGGAAAAGAGTAATGAACGCCAGGAAACTGAAAAAGCTGACTTGTTTTCAAGAGCCTTCAACTTTTAATTTCAAAGAAAAAAAGATGGCCTTAAAGCTTTTTGAATTTGTAGCACAATTTATGAAGGACACTTTTTTGTTGAAATTAACCCAATTTGAGAAAACTGGATCAATACGCAAAACTTTTATTTCACTGGGATATCTGATAATTAATTTCCATTTTCGAAGTCGATCACCTGTGTCCTTTACAATTTTCCTGTTTGATAGTGGAGTTTGCCTTCCTTTCAACAATAGAAATGTACTGAACTTAAAAAGAAATCACAAGTCAAACCGCGAAAAATCAAAATTGAGCGTGAACAAATTAAGACTTTCCTAAAAAAACAAAAAATCAGCAAGACCTGTATAAGAGTCTCCACTACGTTCATTAATCTTAATAAAATTGACAGGACCAATCAAACTCACTTGACTTTGGCAACTATCGGAGATTCAAAAATAGCTAATCTCTAAAGCATTTTTCTATTTGTAAAAAAGATGGATATTATTTGTCGTTTTCATACAATAGACACACTCGTGTCACCACTGGAGCTAGAACCCCTGTACGCATGCGTGGAAGCATTTTTCCATTCTCTGAAGAACAGTAACTTCCGTAATTTCTTTTTGAGAGAAATGCCGCTCATTTCTTGTCTCAAAACAACAATACTCGGCGATCTTGCGTTTAACTCGGAGGGTAACCGGGTACCTTTGACCATTCCAGTTACATGTTGCTTCACTTCTCTATTGTTGAATACAAAGAGAATAGTGTTAAGAGCGGGATAGAGGAACAAGTAATACCCCTCACACCATGTCAGCCAATTTTCTCCAACAAATCCGTAATGTGAAGTGTTAGATAGCTTCGAATTAGAAATAAGTATGGCGCACAATTGCGTTGCAGTATGAACAATTGAAAGGGAGAGACTGAACAAGATCCCTCTGTATTTCTGCATGCTTTTCCACCATCTGAAACAACCGAACTTCAATTATAAAATGAATAGAAACCCTTATAGCCGAGACTTAAAAATGAATAAAAAAGTTTTCAAGTCCCACTTTCTCTCAAATACACACGTACAGGGGCGGATTCAACCCCCTGCCGACCCAAAGGGTCCCCCTTTGGTACTTTTAAGAAATCCAGTTTTGGCCGACCAACCTTAAAATCTTTCTAAAAGCGCCTTTGGCGCCAATATATACTAATTTTGAGGGGCGGCGCGCCCAAAAAAAGGCAATTTTTCGGTCAAAATTTTCCAAAAAGTGTCTAGAAACGCCTTTTTGGCCTATTTTTTCAAAATTTTGCCTGCGGCGCAGAAAATTTGGCCAAACTAGGGACAAAACAGTGCTTCGGGAGAGCTCGAGAAATCAATTTGGTCGACCTAAACAAAAAATGGTCGACAAAATTTTCGAAATTTTTTTGAAAATCCGCTCCCCTCGAGAAAATCCTAGATCCGCCCCTGCAAACGTATAACAAAAAATATTTCTTTTCATCAAATGATGCAAATGCCACTAAGCCAATATAGTATAGACCGAGACTTATAAAGCCGAAAGAAAAGGAAAAATTGAAATTTTAATAGATCGAGTTGGTAAAATTTAATCAACATTAATAGCAAAGGCTATTTTCCAGTTTCTCGCCCTTCTCTTAAGACTACAGAATAAAGTTCTTGGATAATTATTCATACGGCAATTTGCATGAAAAAATAGAGTAACAATGAGTAACAACTGATACGTTTAATTACAGTTTAGAACATCAAAAGCATTTTGTAACAGAAATTTGTAAAACGAGTTTCTGCAAAAATGTAAGACGGAATGGTGCGAGAAGAGCCAAAGCAAATTTTGATACAATAGCGAAGCTGTAACATCGCAAAAAATGAAGAAAAAAACATTAATAAAATCAGCTGTTCCGGAGTCGAACCCCCTTTCTGTAGATCGAGAGTCACGCGATCTATTACCTGGGGCATGGGCTCTTGTCAATCAGGAAACACTAGCCACCAAAAAATAGATACCAAGATATACTGCTATACCAAGAAAGCCAGATATAACGTTATTGCTGCAAAAAGTCCACCAAATAAATGAGCGCTTTTATTTCCGGCTTGCATCCAGAAAAAAAAGTGGAGTTTGTAATGACACAACGCTCAACTTGCGTAAAAACATATCGGTTGCAGTATTTCGCGTCCTGCGAACCGAAAAAAGTCTCGTACCCAGATGCAACAACTTACAATCGCAAGTGCAATTAAGCAGTTTTTCCCAAAAACTTTCAAGAGTAAAATTTTATAGGAAAATTCAGTTACCACCAAGAAAAATCCTGAAGAAGACTATTTCCTGGTGATTTAACACGAACTATAAAAATTTCTTCACTTCATACATTCAAATTTTAAGCACAGAGGCAAATCGAAGCTTCGTATTACTTGCGATACAACGCAACCGCAGCCTTGCAAGCTAGCGAACAGAAAATTATCCGGAAATCGAACAAATCGAGTTATTTTATTTTTTGGGAATAAGAAATACTAGCGTGTGACGGAACTCCATTTACAGGCTTGGTAATATCCAATTTTGTTGTTTTTATTCAAGTTTTTCCAACTCAATTTTTGAAAAACCATTTTGAAGTTTTTAAATCTAAGTTCTTTGCGAAACTTAAAACTTTAGTTCCGATTCTCAAAATTTGAAGTTCCCAACGCTTTAATTGAACACTGTTAGAGTACTCTTAGGAGTTGCAAATCTTGCGTCCAAATGCGACCGTTCAATTGCTTTTAGTTTTTGAAATATGACGTTTTTTAATTAAGTTTTTTCAACCCAAATTTTGAAAATCCATTTCAAAGTTTTCAAATCTAAGTTCTTTGCGAAACTTAATTAAAAACTAAAGGCAATTGAACAAACGAATTTGGACGCAAGATTTGCAACTCCTAAGAGTACTCTTACAGTACCCAATTACAGCGTTGGGAATTTCAAATTTTGAGAAACGGAACTAAAGTTTTCAAATTTTTTTTTGAAAAAAACATTAAAAACGTCAAATCTCAAAAACTAACATGTTTTGAACAGTCTAATTTAACGCAAGATTTGCAACTCCTTTATACAGTACCCAATTACAGCGTTGGGAATTTAAAATTTTGAGAACGTAACTTAGTTTTCTTATTTTTTTTTGAAAAGCCACAAAAAACGTCATATCTCGAAAACTACGAAGATTTGCGCAGCCATATTTGGAGGCAAAATTCGCAATTTCTGGTAGTACCCTGAAAAAGCCTCAAGATAGATATAAAGCACTTCAAAAAATTTGAAGTTGACATCCCTAAGTTCTTTGAACAATTTAAAAAAAGACAACACAAACGTCACTCTAAAACTTGAAGAAATTGTGCAGTCGCATTTGGACGCAAGATTCGCATGTCTTGAGAGTACTCGGACAGCAACCAACTATAGGGTTCGGAATTTCGACTTTTAACACCAAAATTTTTTGGCATTCATGATTGGAGGCCAACTTCGCAACCCTTGTGGGAACCCTGACAGCAATCCACTATTGAGCTGCTTTTTTCAAACTCGGTGAAATAAACACTGAATTCAATCTGGTAAATCGAATAAAAACTCTTCAATGCAATATACGATATGGCTTAAAAGTGAAAACTCTTTCGCTAAACATGCAAAAAATAGTACTTGAAAAAAGTTTAAACGTGGCGAGATAGTTAAGCACGCATTTAAGACAAAGGCGAAGCTTCGCTTCGCAAATACTACCGAGAACAAGACTAAAAGCAGCTCTATAAAGATCAAAATGAAAAGTAGAAATATGCCTCGAATTAGTAAAATCCGGCTACGTCTCGGATTCAAACCTACGACCTACTGCGACCTAGAGATTATAAATCTCACACTAACCACGGACGCTTTATTTATGACAAATGGTAGTCCCAAATAAAGCAGAGAACAGATGCTAAGCAATTTCCAATGGTACAGAGAAATTTCCATATGAACAATTTTATTTGCGAGTTAGGTTAGAAAAAAAAGAAGGTTCGTACTAATACTCGGTAGCTCGCTATTGATTAATTTGAACTAAATAAATAACACCCTTTATTGCTTTCAATTCTGACCTTTTAGCCTTTTCATGAACACTCAACTCCTGCTGTCTATGCAAGGGACAATTGATCTGATGGCTTTCGTGCTTCGTTCCCATTACACTCTGGTAGCGACCGGTCGTCTTCCGATTCGCTTCTATCCCGGCGCTGTTCGGCATTATAGTCGTGTTCAATCTAATCACTAAATGATGCTTGCGCGCCACGAGAGCTTGCAGGATATAGCATGTGCACATTACGAAGTTCGGCACTAGAAGATAAAGTAGAGACGGTGCTGTCGGCACTGATTTGGCGGGAAATTGCACGAAGAATGAGCGTCTCCTGCCGCCTAGTTGAGGTGTCGGTGGCTCTACTTTGGTACAATGTTTCTTTGCACGCAACAGAATACTCGCCCTGCAAAAATCGATAAAATAGGGCGGACTGTTCTTTGCTTCCCTTAACAGTTCCACGGGCATCAAAAATAATATCGGACTTATATTCAAGAACGGTTCGATATACAAAATTTTTGGCTCTGCCATTATAGTCTACTAAAAGCCTCCCATAATTAAAAAACCTACTGTGGTGACGCTATATATTTTTTTGTTTCTAGGCTAGGAAGGGGGAGGCTTCAATGGGAATAGAATATTTTTCTGGCAATAAGTAAAAAATGCATATTTGATTTTTCCTTACACAATATATGAAGGTTGAATGGCTGCCACCAAGACACACGCGAATAAAGTGAAAGTCAGTTTTAATCGAGGCCTCGACAGACAATGGTAGAGATAGTGAAAAGGAAACACGAGTGACAGTGTCCTCCGAATGGCCATACAAGCGAGCCATAACTGCTGCAGGTGCAGAAAAAGCATTCCAGAGAAGGCCATTGCGAGGAGATAGGAGGGTGTGTGGATAAGGAAGGGTACAAAGTATTCGTGTAAGAAGTTGGAAACGACAATTGGCAATAAAATGACATTGACGAATATGAAGTCGACAGCCTAAAACAACTCGAACTGCTGTGAAACAATCACCAGTCCGTACGTTCTAAGAACATGCTTAGAAGGAACTTTTATAGGTGAAAAAAAAAACATTAATTCAAGACAGCAAATAAAGCATTGTAATTTAAGGAGCTGAAACAGATTGAGTGTTTACAAAAAAAACTAATCTAACTGTATACAGACAATTCAAATCGGTCTATCAAGTATCAGCTGCGATTTGGTTCTTTTTTTTAAAAGGAGGCCGATTTATATGAAGAACGGTTCGAAAGCAGAAAGGGTCTAAGTGCAGAACGATATTTATAATACACTCTCGCTGATACGTGTGGCCTGCTTGACAGTCCCGACACTCGAAGTGTTTATGAAAAAAGTAAGCCATCGGCACTGACCCTACCGCGATTTTTCATTACCTAAATTGCCATTCTGGTACTTTGGTCTTAGCATTATGCTCTTACCCTATTCTAATCAAGGCTCCGCCTCCCTTTGTGAACAACTTTGAAAAAAATGTAATTTGAAATAAGTTGGCATTTTGAAAAGTACTTACTTTCAATGTGACTATCTCGAATCTCCTTTCGATTCCAGAGCTGAACTTCAGTTTTCGCAGCAGCAACACGCCACTCCACCACACACAACTGCCAATCACCACAGAAAACAGCAGCAGCGAAAAAATAAACTGCAGATCCAGAAAACTACCCAGATAAGAGCCCATCGCACCTTTGGGATTTCTGCTGGTAACTCCATTATAAACATTTTTAACGGGAAACAAATACACAATGTAATCATCGAAAGAGCATTCTTCACTTAAATGAGTGGCTTCCAAAACTTCATAACTGTTTACCGAAGTCAGGTTTACACTGGGCGATAAAGAAGACGCGGATGAGTTAAGTTCAAAAAAGGTTGAACTATTAAAAGAGACGGAAAATCCCGTTGAATTCACATTCGTGGAAGTGCTGCTGCTCATTGCACCAATTGATTTCATTGTACTCTGCTATTATCCTTTTCAAGTTATTCTGGTGGCGAAACGTGTCTGATATTTTGAGCAAGGTCAAACGCATTTCATTTTCACACGAAAACTGCGTTGTTATCGATTTGTTTCATTTAATTCAAGGTTGACACCCAATCAGAAAATCAATGAAGAAACCATCGTTCTCTTCTGATGAGAGTAACGAAATTAATTTGATGAGAGGATAAATGGTTAATGCGAATTCTTTTTCTTCGATTTGATTGATAAATTAATACACTAACAACAGTAAAATGATAAGAGCTCGATTTTTAAATATTTTATAATTAGCAAACCATTGTTTTCAAATAGAGGATTACATTTTTTACTTCACACTTTCAGGCTTTGCGTTCTCAGTGATAAGATATCGAGATTTTCTGCTCAAAAAAAACAATTAACAAACATTATTATTTATAAAAAAAGATATATATAAATATAAAAACGAATCCATTGAATGACTTTATAGCTAACGGGGCATACGATGCTAGGATTCAATTTTGAACACAGTGAAAACAAACTTAAAAGAACTTTGATGAAGCAAACTACCTCAACCTTAGACGAAGTTGCCAATTAAAAAGGATCAAATAATTAGCTTTTAAAGCAACTTGTTCAGTGTGACGTCAGGTTTGTCGGCAACTATAACTAACATTGGTATAATAACTTTTACAAATATTAGTATAACTGACTTAGTGGGTAGTCATAACTCGGTCTGTTAATGGAGTCAACTTAATGCAATCTTTTCAGCGCCCACTTCCCAATAAGGCGTGATATAATTAATCCAAACAGACATGCAACTGTTTGCTAGTTTGATAAGTGAGCAGAGCATTATCAAACATGGCCTATTTGATTGGTAATTGTGACCAGATTGGAGTATACACAGCACAGGTTTACAGTCTCGTTACAGTCTCCTTTATCTCACTTATCATTTTGAACCAGTTTGAAGCGTTTCTTTTTAACGGAAAAACTAACTGTATGAAGCTGAAACTCATTCCGTGCTATCAAAGATCACTATGCCAATAATGAAATACCACAACTTTTAAATTTCTCTAATTGGCAAAACAGACACAGACGCAAAACTTCGCTTTGCAAACACTTGCGAGAAAAAGGCAAAAAACAGCTCTATAAAGTTCAAAAATAAAAATTAGAAATAAACCTCGAGACTTAGCAAAAATTCGGTTATTTCTGAGATTCGAACCTGCGACCTATAAATTAACTAACTCGCCAACTACTCAGCAACGGAAGCTTACTATACGCCAAACAGAAGCCACAACAAAAGCAGAGAACAAATGCTATGTAATTTTTAATGCTTCAGTGAAATTTCTAAATAAGTGAACACTTTTAATGAACTTTTATTTGCGAGTTAGGTTAGAAAAAAAAGTAAAGTTCGAAATAACTCACTAGGCTGATCACAAGTGTAAAAACTGCTGTAGCATCCATAATCCAGGTTCCTTCATAATACACTCCGCATTTATGTGTAAATTAAATAGAACAAATCAGTTGAATTTTATTCACCTTTTAATTTAGCTGCAAGATTTAGTTTAAAAATAATTTGGTGAAGATGGCTGACCTGTACTGCAGATGGCTGGTTGTCGTGAGTGTAGTCCATGAACAGTGCATGGGGTAGAGAGGGAGTGAGTGGTCGAGGGGTGGAGGAGGGGAGATAGAAGTCCCCAACTGGTCGGCCTCCGTACCTGTGGACCTGTCGTCCCAGCTCACGGCAGTTGTATGCACTCATCGCTTCTACAACCACATAGCTCAACCAAATGCATACGTTCAATTTTTTAATTCTTTCATACGGATGACTACGCATTATCTTGCCTTAAATTATATCAATTTGAAAAAAAGTTCCGACCACCACGATTTAAATTAAGAAAATCAAGATTCATGGAAAATTAAACAAAAAATTGATTAGTTGCATTTTGTAAAACATTCATGTTAATTTTTCTATCAAAGGGAGATTGAACTAGGTAGATGTTAATGAGAGGTAATTATAAAAAAAGAGCCAACTGACAGTTGGAAATGAGTAATGAACAGGCCCCGGGTTTTAGTTAATTAACTATTTTTTATCGAATTTGTTTTTTTTAAACCTTGTTAAAATACTAAATATGCATAAAATTTTTGCTTCAGTTTTCAGTTTCAAACCCATTCTGCTCTTAGACTACTCTGCTTATTGCTCCGCCTCCGGGGGACAAATTGAAGAAAAATTTGAAATTTGTTAATTTTTCAACAACAAACTTATTATGTAAATTGGCCTTGAAATGTACTCGAAACATTCAGGAACAGATATGCGAGCAGTCTTCATGATTCCAATGCTTTGCACGGAGTGCAGCCAGTATTTAGACAGCCGCGTATTCATACTCGTCAGTATTTAGACAAATACTGTATGAACCAATCAGAATCGAGAAAAGACATAAATAATCCAAAATAAATCATAATTATTTATTAATTTCTTCTTTGTCTCGATTCTGATTGGTTGAAACAGTATTTGTCTAAATACTGACCAGTCTGAATACGCGGTTGTCTAAATACTGATATGTAACCCTATTTTTCGTAGTTAACCAACTATTTCTGAGAAAATGGAGGAAATAAACTTATCAGAGAGAAGCGCTTTATTCTAACTATTTATGTTGAACTTCTCTAGAAAACCGACAGTATTTTAGAAATTATACGCTAACATTGACATCTTCAACAAGGTCTGTGATCACATTGTGGGGGAGTTGACTAGATGATGTACATAACAAAACTTGAAAATTTACAAATTTACCGGTAAAATGCTTCCACAAATGAAATACTCGGATTTGTTCCAGACTCGTTGAAAACGATTTTTTTTGCAGTTTTGTTGAAACGCCAGTTTTAATTAAGTTTTCTTCAACTAATTCGATGGTTTTTAAGGAACTATTTAGTTAACTAAAATGATTCTTTTTACTTAACTAAAATCACTTGCGAATTTTGAAGAAAAAATAAATGTCCATAATGGTCTTTGAATTTAACAAACAATTAATGTTTGAAACTTTTTGATGAAATAAACAATTTAAAAAACTGGATAAATAGTTAAAACTTTTATTTCGCTGGGTAATCTGATAATTAAATTCCATTTTCGAAATAGGAAGTCAAACACTTTTTCGATACTTTTACATTTTTGCTGTTTGATAGAGGAGTTTGACTTCTTTTTAACAAATGAAATGAAGAGAACTCGAAAAGAAATCAAAAGTTTAGAGCGTATACAATTTTAAGAATTTTTTTTGAAAAAAAAAACAGACAAAAAATCACCAAGATCTATATACAAGCACTCACTACGTTCATTAATCTTAACAAAGATAGCCAGTTGAGAGCCAGAATATTCCGACCCAAATTGATTTTAAAAAATCATAAAAACAAAGAAATTTTATCTTAAATAGTAATAAAAAGTTCCCAATTTTTTGTCTTATTTTCCTGTTAATATTTTATTTTTTGTCTTATTTTCCTGTTAACATTTTTCTGGAACCGATTAAATCAGGTGAATAAAAAACAAGAAAAATCGGTAACTATAAGAAAATTTCTTTAAAAGATAGCGTTAAATGCTAGTAGAATTAAAGATAGGTCACCCTCTAAACAATTTTTTTCTGAAAATCAAAAACGGACCAGAATCACGACGAATAGGGCTGTAATAAGATACCACACATGGCTCCTAAGAACTTTTCTTTGAGATAGTCAAAGTTGACTGCCAAAAAATAAACATAGCCAACAGGCAGTTGGAAAAGATTCAATGAACGGAAGGAAACAAAAAAGGAAGGAAACTGACATGTTTTTTGAAACAATTTCAACTTCCGAAATTCAAAAAAAAAACTGGCTTTGAAGCTTTGAAAATTTATGCTTCCCTGATAAAATTAACTCAATTATGAGAAAACTGGATCAATAGGCGAAGTTTTTATTCTAAAACTAAAATCGTCTTTTGAAATAAGAAGGCGATCACGTTTTTCGTGACCTTAACAGTTTTGCTGTTCGATGGTATAACACAAGTGTTTCGATGTTGTCAGATTATTTCATTGAAGCACACTTAAAAGATGTAAAAGTTTACACCGCTTAAGAAGAGTTTTCATGTTTAAACTACAAGTAGCAAAGCCTTTTTTTTACTGTGCACACTTTGGAAGAAAAGAAAAGAATCCGTAGCTAAGTTGTCTCACTTTAATCAAATTGAAAACCGATCCAAAACTGGCCAAATTGTCCCAATCTGAGTCCACTGTACACAATTTTGGACAGTTTTCTTTGCAGCTTGAGACACAACTGCAATAGTTTTATATGATACATAGCTTAGCTTCGTTGGATTTTTTCTGAGTTACATGAACTTGCGTGAGGAAAATACAGTGAACGCAACTTCCTCCTCGCCTTCGGTGATCGGAATAATTGGAATAGGCTTACCTCTTACAAGTGACGTGATTCCCAGTCTGTTCACAAACACCATGTCTAGATCCTCTCTGCCTGTGAACAACTCGGCCATAACATAGAAGTCCTTCTTCACTCTCCTACAAGTATCGACTGCAAACTCAGCTACGTGTAGGGGGGTGCTATGACAATTGTCCAGTCGGATTCCGTCGAACATCTCGGCTGTTTTTGCACAGTACTTCTCAACTCTGTCCCACAAGTAGGGACTGTCTTCGCGACACTGGCCGAATCGCAGCTTGATACTAAAACACCGACAGACTCAAAAAACTCAAAAAGCACGGACTTTTCTAAATTGATCGATATATTTGCTAGTAAAACCACTAAAAACATTGAGCAGACTTAGACACCGAACTAATACGCCATGTTTTTATACTTACAAGAAAATGTTTTCTACTTACTGGTAAATATTGTTTCTGGGTTAAATGGCTTACAATTAAAATAAACTCATCGCTATAACCAACTGGGTCAAGAGCAAATATACGACATTTCAAACATGGACTATGTCAAACATCCGAAAAAATAATAATTATGTAATAATATGACTTTTAAATTTCAAAAACAAGATACTGTTCAATTTTTTATTCCAATTCAGCAGTCTCTAGGTTTTAAGTAGTCAGAGGGTGCGCTACTCGCGCGTCGCAGCGATAAACGACTCTAACTTTCATAAAGAGTCCTACCCTCGGGTGGCAAGCTCCCAGAACACTGGCGCGACTGCGGCATCCTCCCTCATTCGACCACTACAGAATCTTTTAACCGAAGGGTAGAAATGGGATCTTTGCCCTACTTTGTCAGAAATGTCGGATGTTTGCCCTAGTACAGCTGTTTTTCGGTTGTTTCCAACACTTTTGGTTTTTCAGGTGTTTGACATATCGGATATTTGTACTCTACCCAATAACAATAATAAAAAATTGTTTTTGGGCAGTTAAATTGTTGGTACTTAACGAAACAAAGTTAAAAACCAAAAGTTTTGCTACCTGGGAGAGCACCCTACCTGGGAAAATCTTGTATCTTACTTAACTTATAGAAATTAATTCTTAAAAGCTCTGTTATATTTCTTCACAGAGGCGAAGCTTCGCTTCACAAACCCTTGCGAGAACACGACAAAAAGCAGCACTATAAAGTGCAAAAACAAAAATTAGAAATATCCCTCCAATTTAAAAAAAATTCACCTACCTCTGAGATTCGAACCTGCGACCTAGAGACTAAGAGTCTCACACAATAACCACGGAAGCTTAAAAGGCACCAAACATAAGCCACAAATAAAGCAGAGAACAGATGCTAAGCAATTTCCAACGCTACAGTGAAAATTCCAAATAATAGAACACTTTAAATGAGCATTTTAATTTGCTTGTTAGGTTAGAAAAAACGGTTCTTAATAACACACTAAGCGGATCGCAAGCGTAAATATGCTGCTTCATGTGTACAGTGCTGATTTGAATTAACCGGACAAAACGCGTTAAACTTGAAATTTAAAACCCGTTTTTCTCAAAGTGGGTTGAGTTTAGGTGAAAACTTATGAAGACAAAATTTGCTTAAAATTTTAGCAGAATTAATATGGTGTAAATTGTTTTGCGAAATTCGGGTCAATTTGGCTTTTCTTAGTTCAATCAAAAATTACGCCAAAAATACCTAGTCGATCACAGACATAATTATATCAAAGTGAGCCCCTTGCGTAGCCCAACCAACATAAAGAAGGGTATATTCTCCAAAAAAAAATGCAAATTGTTTAAAAATTGTTTTTGAATAAAAAGTTGGTAATTTATATAGTAAAAACGACCTTTTTTGTCTATCAAACAAAATTGAATTAACTTAAACAATGTTTTGGAGAATATACCCTTCTTTATGTTGGTTGGACTACGTAAGGGGCTCACTTTGATATAATTATGTCTGTGATCGACTGGGTATTTTCGGCGTAATTTTTGATTTAACTAAGAGAAGCCAAATTGACTCATTTTTGGGGTAAAATTTCGGGCCCGAATTTCGCAAAACAAATTACACCATATTAATTCTGCTAAATTTTTAAGCAAGTTTTGTCTTCATGAGTTTTCACCTAAACTCAACCCACTTTGAGAAAAACAGGTTTTAAATTTCAAGTTTAACGCGTTTTGTGCGGTTAATTTAAATCAGCAAAGTATTCAAACTTTCTTTAATGTTTTCGCGTACATATTTTTCACTTTCTTTGTAGATCTTCAATTTCGTATTTCATTTGATTCATGTTATAATTTTGGTTTGATTATTTACCATTAACAATGAGAAATAAAAACGTCTTCTACTCACGAGTCTCCCCACACAATCAGCTCTCTCTTCAGGTAGACCATGGAACCTGGCTCAGCAAAATTCCGGAGAGGATCATCGCACATGATCCATCCATTGCACGCTTTGAAGTGACAAGCTACCTCTGGTTCATCAATAGCCGCCATCTCTTCGGTTGTAGTCATAGTCTGGTAAGGATGCTCAGAGAAGTATCTATTACAGGAATTAAGTCATTCACTATTTGTTCAACAAAACCGTCCAACTGCATTCTACTGGAAATTTCAATTTCATTATTTAAATAGTATTAGGGATAGCCGGTTGCTGTGCATTTAGCACAGAATGTTCAGACCACATTCATAAAAAATTACAAAAAGTTTTTTGTTCAATTTTTCTTCTATTTACTGTTGTTTTTTTGTAGGCGTTGTGAGAAGAAATTAAAATAAACGCGTACAAAATTAGTCAATTAGGCAGAATTTACAACAGTTATGTTCAAAAAATGAAAAACAAACAAAGGAAGAGCTAAAGAAATCTTCCACTAACATTTCAGTTAACTTCCACAAACATTTGACTTTTTAAGCTAATTGACCCAATTTCTATCAATTTTTATATATACTAAACCTCAAAAAATAAATCAATTTTTGAAAATTATTAATGCGTTCGAATCACGTCTGAAAGGGCTTTAATACGATATATCACTCAAACCATTCCGGTGATTATTTTGGGTACCTTATTTTGCGTGGCAAACAACATAGCCAGGAGACAGTTGGAAAAGAGTCGCAAAGCAAGGAAACAGAACAAAAAACTGACTTGTTTTCAAGAACAAATTATGATTTGAGTTTTTTGATAAATTTATCACAATTTAAGAAAACTGGATCAATAAGTAAAATTTTCATTCCGCTGAGAAATCTGAAAATTATATTCCACTTTCGAAACTAGAAGTAGATCACGTTTTTCGTTGACATTTACACTTTTGCTGTTTGATAGTGGAGTTTGCTTCCTTCCTAAAAACGAAATGAACTCAACTTAAACAGAAATCAAAAGTCAAACCGCGAAATAACAAATTTGAGCCTGAACAAATTTTATGAGCTTGAACAAATTTTTTTCCTGAAAAAAAAGCAACAAAAAATCACCAAGACCTATATAATATTATTTTTGACTCTTAAAAAACTTAAACACACCCAAATATAGAGTTCCTCCCCATTTTCAATGGTCGGAACAACGAACTCAATTTATTATTAATTATCTCTTAGCATTTGAGAGAAATATTGAGCCACTACCATGCAACCTGAAAAAATTTGTCGCTTCTAACCTCCACACGATTGGAGTTTCTTCTGCAATCTTATCCCATTTTGGCCCATTTGGATCCAAAAAGACATAGCCAGCATTGGCCACGCAGTTTCCAACACCATCTAAGAGGAATCCCTGGATGCGTTCTTTTTTCTCCTTGTTCAATCTAGTTACATGCGCTTCGAAGTCCGACACAGCCGCCTCAACCAACTCGCTGTAGTTTTTCTGCGGCCTAAAACAGAATGGGACCGCTTAATTTGAAATTTGAGCATAATTAATAGTTGAATTAAAAATGCCCAAAATAACCAGCAGCTAAAGGAGCTAAACACATTATGAGCACCAAGGACGAAAAATCACTTTTTCCAAATTGCAAACTGAAAAAATATAGCCAATAAACTATTTACAAAATTAAGCTAAACTCAGATAATAGAAATGCTTTTCACATATATGGAGAGAAAAATTACACCAAGATAGAGCTGGAAAGTTAGAAGAAATTGTATGTCTTCACCCAATTCATTAAATTAACCTCATGTGAGTTTTCAGCCAATAAGTTTTCATTCCACAGATGTTTTTGAATAAAATTCCAACCTTAAAAATAAATGAAATGAAAACGAAAGCCTCTGAAAACCTAATTTTCCTCAAAGAGCGAAAAATGGCAAATTGATGAATAACAAGCTGAAAAAAAAATCAAATTACTAGCAGCATAACACAAAAAAGGAACATGACCAACAGACAGTTGGAAAAGTGTCGAACAATGAGATCGAACATTTTGCTGACTTTTTTGATAAAAGCGAATCGGAGTTTTGCAACACTTTCGATACAACAAAAAACATAGCATTGCAAGAAAGTGAATACAAAAAAAGAGGATGCCGTATTAAGTTTTAAAAAATTATTTGGAAATTAGGCGGAAAATCTACACCTACAAAAATGTTATAATTATCATGATAATGAGGGTTTAGTCATTATTTAAACACTCGATAAAGAAATGAAGCACACTGGTTTTCCTTAAGTTAATAGTGAGCACTAAACAGATATATTTCAGCACTTTTTAAATTCCTTTATATGATTTTCCAGAATGATCTTCGTAAACAGCTTTAAAATTATTGGAAATAAATTACCGAACGGCAGCTAAGATGACAAAATTTGAGACCCCGTTGCGCTAGAAATAAAACTGTAGCCATAAGAAAACTTTGAGCAAAAAAGTTTTTAAAGTGTACGCTTTTACGACAAATCCCTACTGAAGACTCAAAAAAGCATCCAAAAATATTGCCCTCGAAACTCTGCAATATAAGTTCCCTAAACCAATAAAACAAGCCAGAACTTGAAATTATAAATTTCAGAACTTGCAACTATAATAAAAAACTCCTTTATTCAAAAACCAATGCTTGGGCAATACGCCCAACAAAAAGCCATACCAGATAATATTTTAAAAACTGTTAAGTGAACCGAAAAAAAATTAGGACGACAACAACGGATCAAAAAATAAGAACTATTACTAGCCTTAAAAAAATCCAACTAATACCTACCTAAAAATGGCATTTGGATTTTCAAGAAATTGAGAATGTTATTAGCCTGCACGTGAAAGTAACTTTTTGTTTCTCACGGTAACGCGACAACTCGTTACAGAAGGCAACTCGCGAAATTCAAGGAAGAATTTAAGTTATAAAAACTTTAAGTTATAAAAACTTTGACTTAAAAACTTTGACGCGTTGCGTCGAAAAACCGTCTCTAATATCCGTAAAAAATCCTGCTCTCTAATGGCAAGCTCGCAACACAATGGCGAGACCGCGATGGTGAGTATATAGCGAGAAGGCTTTTATGTGAGTTGACTTTTATTGCGAGTTGTCGCATAAGGGTTTCTTACAGATTTGTAACAAAAAGTGTAATGACATTTAGATCAAATGTCATTACTTTGAACAATTATTGTACTGTTGTTTGAAACAAGTAGATTTTTTCGATCCTTCGGTGAATTAAAAATGCAGCAACCGTGTTGACTTATTTTAGTCGAATGTCAAAGCACATGCTATCAAAAAGCCGTACAGCTGCGAGCTAAAGTCGCACCAATATTTGCGAATTGGGTTGGAATAAATAATTACACTACGCTCGCAAGTTTTAACAACTTGTTGAAAAAAGTCACGAGAGCTTTGAATGAACAGATATTGTATTCCTGGCTTGATTTTAACGGTATTTTTTTTGAAACTTCGGCAGAAGTGCAATTTAACATTCATTTTGATCTCCGTGAGTCAACCAAACTCTCTACTGATCGAGGATCAGACAGATTTGAAAAAATAAAACTGTTATTTTAACAACATCAAGCACATGGATGCACTTCAATCTGCTGGACTTCAAGCCTAAAAATGACAAAGTCGTGTAGTTAAATTTACTCTCCTAAGAAATCCAGCAGATACCAGTATTAGCATTCATTTAGAGAAAACAGGATCAATAGATTCATTTAGAGAAAAGGGATCAATTAAGATTTTTTTATTCCGCTGCAAAACGAAAAATCAAAATCCGATTTCGAAACTTTGGTTAAAAAATTTTCCAAAAATAATAAAAAAAATAGAAACTAAAGAAAAGTGTTAACTTCGTTTATTGACAGTTAAAAACCAAGCACGACCAAAAACAACACAACTAGTCGACAAAAAGAAAAGAAAGCTGCACAAATAAAAAAACTTTCGAAAAAATTTGAAAACAGGCGCTACGCGCAATACACCGAAGGCATAGAAACTGAAGCAAAAACCAAACAACTTGAACAACTAATAATTGAAGAATAACAGTTCTAGAACAAAAAATCGTACTAATACATGTATACACCAAAATTTTGCTATATCGAGAAAGAGCCTGAAATAACAGTTCTAGAACTAAAAATCGTACTAACACATGTATAGGTGAAATTTTTGATATATCAACGAAGATCATAAAATAACACTTCTAGAACTAAAAATCGTACTAACACATGTATACACCAAAATTTCTCATGAACAAATAACCAAACAAACAGACCCATAATATAAATAAATGAAAACAAATAAATTAAATAAATACACACGCAGAAATAATAAAAGCAAAACTAAATGAAAGAAAGAATAATTAAATAAATAAACAAAACACGTGATAAAAATAAACAAAAATAAATATGTACATACATAAATTATAAATAAATATAAGCAAACTAAACATAATTAAATAAATAGAAGAACAGATAATTAAATAAATAAAGATGAACAAATAAAGAAACAAACATACGCAATCACGTGACATAGCGCGATATAGTCCAGCCCACATGATAATTGATAACTGTGGACGTTATTTGTCGACACTTGACAACAGACAACATTAAAAAAAAACCCGTTACACGATACCATAACACCTTGACTAAAGTCTTTCAGGATTTCGACTTTCAATTCACTTTGAAGAAAACATTACAAGGAAGACATTTGTCAGTGCTGATTTAGCCTGACCAAAACAAAATATAAGCAGCGTACATTTACGCAAGTTGATTATATTTGTGTCACTTTTTGAGCAGGAAAAATTGTTTGCAAAAATCGAGCCAAAAAAATTTTTGGAACGCAAAGTTCAAATCTCCGGGCAAAGACAGCTAAGAACCTTTTTCGCCCGTCAAATAAAGCAAAATGAGCGAATAAACCGATAAAATATGAGTAAAAAATCGAGCGAAAAAAAAACAAATTTGACAACCGAGGTGTTGGTGAATTTACGCTCTGAAGAAATCTAGCAGATTACCAGTATTAGCAACCAGTAGTTAAATATGAATTTTTCAGAAATTTAATATATCAGAAAAAATGATTCTGCGATTAAATCAAACAACAAGTTTACCTGAAACAGTCCATGCTCTAATTTGAAAACGCTTGCTAATTGCAAGCATATACACAGAGGCGAGGTTGCACTTCGCATACACAAGCAACAATATGACCGATAACGCAACTGAGAAAACCTGAAAACTGAATGAGTAAAACTTTGAGTCTAAGAAATTTCTCAAGTGACGCACGCCAATTATGAGTCTACATAATTGCTAAGTGACGCAAGCAAAATATGACGCATTAGCAGTACCAGTCAATTTGAAAAAAAAAAGAAATTTACCAAAGAACATGCCTCATTTTATAGAGCGGACGCATTTTAACTCGTATACGATAAAATTCATTTATAACATCCGACCCTGCCCAGGTTCGTACCCTCTTATTTTGTTGCGGGTCTCCTTCCCTAACTCTATAGTACAGATCCATGATACTTTAAAGCTAAAAAGCTACTAGAGGCCCAGTTAAAGCTGGAGGTACCTGTTTGATATTTTTGAATTTGTTGTACTGATGCGTGATGAAGTAGGTTATTTACAAAATTTATGCATTGAGCTTCACCCAAAACCTTGGTTGTTGCTCTATTAAAAACGAGTGAAAAATTTTGTAATTCTGGAATTTTCCCAGAAATATGTTTCTTGCTCAAACTTCGAAGCGTAGCAGTTTATGCACGGAGGCTTCTTGCAACCTGTTGCCTTGATTAAACCTTTGATATCAGATTGAGTTGTTTTCGAGAAGTCAAAAGTTTAAAACGGATAAGAAATCAAAACATTGACTTTTCGGAAGGCCATAAATTTTTTGTGTTGGGAAAATTGAAGGCGAGCGCTTACACAGAGAGCCCTTCCTTTTTTCATTGAAACCAATATCTTAGATTCAGGAGGGTAGTTTGAGAAAAGCAAAAAATTTTCAAAAAACAGTCAAAAATTCGATTTTTCCGAGGTCCGAGGATCATAAATTTCTGTGTTGTAAAAAAGATGGGCGTAACCGCTTATGCAATAGAGCATCCCACAACCCGTTCTACCAAATGAAACCAAAATCTCAGATTTGGGAGGATAGTATTTGAGAAAAATCGATAAGTTTAGAAAAAACGGTAAAAAAATCGAAAATTTGACTTTTCGGAGGATCATAACTTTTCGTGTAAAAAAAAATTAGGCGCAATCATTTATGCAGCAAAGCTTCCCATAAACGATTCTTTTTTTCAAGTAAACTAAAACCTCTGATTTGGGAGAGTAGTTTTTGAGAAAAACCGAAAAGTTTCAAAAAACGGTCGGAAAAATCGTAAGTTTGACTTTTCTGAGTCATAACTTTTTGTGTGAAAAAATTTGAGCGTAACCGCTAATGCAGAGGAGCTCCCCACAACCTGTCCGTTCGATTGAAACTAAAATCTCAGATTTGGGAGGGCTGTTTTTGAGAAAAGTTCAAAACATGGCCAAAAAATCTAAAAATTGACTATTTTGAGGGCCATAACATTTTGTGTAAAAGAATTTAGGAATAGCCGCTTATGCGCTTGCCACAACCTAACCTATCCATTGACATCAGATTTGGGTGGGTAGTTATCGAGAAAACTCCTCCACACACTTTTTCGAAGGCCGTAGAAAGTGCGGTAAGGTAGAAAGAGACTAGCGTAGTGAACACTATCAAAATGAACACATTTTTCCGCAACAAAATTTGCGTCGCAACGATATTTTCGACTTAGGTTGGAAAAAAAGATAGTTCATACTATAACACAAGCTATGCTTGTGTAAACACAGAGGCAAAGCTGTGCTTCGCAAACACTACCGAGAACACGACAAAAAATCAGCTCTATGAAGTGCGATACGAAAAAGTTGAAATAAGCCTCGAAATAGTAAAAATTCGGCTACTCTCGGATTCGATCTGCGACCTGGAGATTATGATTCTCAGACACTAACCACGGAAATTTAATAAATCACAAACACTAGACACGTATAAAGCAAAGAGCAGATGCTATGAATTTTCCAATGGTACAGATCGTGATTATAGCAGAAGTGCCCCCCAAACAATGAACACTTTTATTTGCGAGTTAGGTCAGAAAAAAATAAGGTTCATACTGATACACTAAAGCGCGCAAGTTCGTAAAGTAAAAATGAAAAAAAAACACGACTAAGCTACAGGTCTAGCTACAAACGAAGCCGTGACACAACATAATATCTTATCAAAGCTGAAAACTAAAACTTGGGAACAGGGATGGTATATAACCTCTGGAAATAGAATTTGGCTACAGCTGCTTCCAAGTCTACAGTACATCCAAACAAGTTGTACTTTGGGTCCTGTACCAACTGAACAGCAACGTCACCCGGTAGTCTACCAGGAGCATCCAAGAGCCCCTTCAGCTTAGCCCGGAACTCAGACACAAGTGTGTCCACATCTGCCAGGTAGAATTCGGCTATTTTGTGCTTCGGAAGCACTTCACTGATGAACACGTTTCTCAAGATCTAAAAAACATTCCCTAAATAGAATGAAAAGCATTTCTCTTAACATCCAACAAGAGACGTTGTGATAAGCTAGTGGTTGTCTTGCTGCAGACAATATCAATGTCTCTCTCTCAAACTTTGATAAATATAAGTGCAAATTCGCCGAATTCTTATTTCTATCACTTAAATTATATAATTGTGCGATCTTTGTGATAATACGCTCTTTTAACGCAAGTATAATGCAATGCGTGAGTAATTCGCGTTCTGTCATATTAATTTCCTCACTTCTAGGGTTTCGCTTGTCACGGGTGTCGGTAGGACTCCCTTCTTTGCATATTTGCCCGCATTCACGTCTAGGGTAAGCTGCCACAGAAGTCTATCCAATACAAACGCAGGCTTCAGATGAGGGCTGTTGACCAGGTTATAACTAAAACAGAACAGCATGCCAAAGTTAACTAATAGATTTCGCCAATGGTCACAAAGTATGGCAAGCCGCATCACGAACTGGTAAAAGCAAAAGCACACGTCACTGCGTTTTTAATTTGGGCGCTATCGCAAAGTTCCAGTCGAAACATGATTTGGAACTTAAAAGTGCTTCAAATATGTGGAAAACTGAATCATTCAGGGTTCAAAATATTTTACCTTCTTTGATACGATCATAGCTCTAGAAAAAGGAAAACTCAGTAAACCCAGTTTTGACTTCGTAAAATTACATTAAAAACATACATCAGACACCTGAAAAAAGCCTTTCGCCTCTTATGTAGGAGGGAAAGGGCCAACATAGGAGTTGCTCAGCTCTTTGCCGAGAACCGCTAATCTGTCCCTACTTAAAATTGCATGCAATTTTTTTTATTAATATTTACTAGACTGAGAATTGTTGTCTCACACGCAGGCAGCTAGCACGCATCATGGTGGACCTCGAACTTTGGGCCTTTCGACTGAGGGGCGGAGACCATAGCCACTTCATAATTATTTCTCCAAAACACAAAAAAAAAGATTTCGGAAACTTGAAAAAATTATTTCCCGTCATATCTCGTTACATATAGTAACAAAACAAATAATGTGCTTTCTGATTCTATCAGCATAAAATAAGCACGTAGAAAAACTTCTAACAGCGTGCAACAACTTGTCTTTTCTCTGGAAATTAGAAGCATTCTATTGAATTAGCTTTTACCCTGCTTCCGGATGTTCGTGTATCCAGGGTGAGTCATAGGAGGTGTGGTTGAGGACTACGTCTGTGATGGAGAACATGCCCCACTCCTTGCGCATGTGCTGCACCACCCCCTCCACTGCAGTCCAGCCATCGTTTGCGTAATTTTTCGACGAGAAATAGCGTGGATCTACCTGCAAACAGAACATTTCAATCGAAACGCAAAACACAATTTAACTAATTCTGTGGATAAATTATGCAAAGGAAAGAATCTGAACAACCTGCAATCTACTTGAGTTTCACTTGCCTTCAGTTGGTCTTTGATTGAGTAGGCCGAGTTTGAGGCTCCCAGGTGCTGCACAGGAGTAAAATGGACCACATTGTACTTGGTCTCATAAGTGGTCCTAAGTCTGTCAAGCCATTCTTCAACTGGGCCTAATTGCTTTGTCGTCACTGTTTGCATACACACAGCCTCCAACGGCATTGTCTTGTCGCTTGAGGGGTTGATTTTGAGAATGGGATCTACGACAAAGTAGCCAGCGCAAACTTCGTCCTTGTAGCTGAAGAACAGTAATATTTTTTTTTGTTTGAGATACTTTTTGACAGGATTACAACCACCATCATTTCAGCACGCGATTAATAAGCAAAACTGCTTTGTGGATTGTCAATACCGCATTTTTTACATACTTTTTTTATGAAGTGGCTGTGTAAGGTTTCATTACTCCGATATGAATTCATGTTTTAATATCCATTTAACCTAAGAAAAATTGATATCTGAAAAACGAACAGGATTTTCTTTAGTCAATATTCTGTTTCTGAAGACACCACATTTGAATTGAAACAAAGTTGACTCGACTAAAAAACACACCTGGAGCTAGCTATTGCAGAGTAGTATCTGAAACTTCCGCTTAGAGTAACAACGACCTCTGCGTGACCATCCACCTCGGACAAAGTCTGATCACCACCCGAATACACCCATGGCAACTCGTAGTACTCGTGTCTGTTGAAGTCTTTAGAGGCATCTGGGGGGATGTTGGAGAACACTTTAGCATCCAAGCCGACAATGGAGCTGTGTAGTTTGAATAATAACCTGTCACCTGAAACGATAAAAAAAAATTTAAAGAAAAATATAATAACTTCTCACACTGGAAGAAACAAATTGCCTGAAAAAACTGGAACTATTCTACTCGTTTAAAGCAGTTTTATCGATTAAAACGTGACCATGAAACTGAGATATTCGATCCTGCCTTGAACTGGTAGATATTAACTTGACCTAATTAAGATAGGGTAAGTTTAAATGAGCTTTATCTTCAACTCTGCCCTAATTGACGACTAATGATTGAGTGAATCGGTTGCTTCGTGACATTTGATTCAAGTAATACATTTATCTACCCGGTAGACTAATTTAACCACAGATAGACAGCTACAAACTGACATTTGGAATTCCAATTCAGTGAAATACTATGATAAAGAGCGCGATAAAATTGGCATAAATTTTGGCTGTTTCATCTGCGTGCAAAACTATTTTAAAAAAATCGATACCTGGTTTTTGCAGCTTAATTTCATAGAAAAAAAGGGCCACCTTATAACTGATTTTTTCCAACCAACCAGCCCGGAGGCCTAGCCTGGAGATTAAATATTTAAGGTTGAACTAGTTCTCACTTAATTATGACAAGCCCAATAAAATACGACTATCTTTCTTACAAGCGCACACCTTGTAAATTGCAGCGCACGTTCGATATGATCCCGCAATCATATGACTGCTACGTTCTATCGCTACAAGATATACTACATCGCCTAGTCAGCAAACGTGAAAATCAAGGGCCGAATTTTGTACCATCACCCAACGCCCAAAATAAAAAAAAACAAATGCGAACGAAACTCAAGACCTAATCCACAGCAAAAACCGAACAGCTTGATACTCCGTTCAATCACACTTAAACACAACTTAATCAACACCACTTGCGATACAAAAATGAATGATTATAATTAAAATCAATGATTTAGAAAGGCTCCAGATATCCGAAACAAAAACCCTTGCACCATTGGAAACTTTAAAAGGAGCTTTCGGAATGCTAGAAAAAACCAATCTTTCAACAAAATCGTTTCTGCGGGAACAAAGCCGACAAAAACGAGTAAACAAACAATAATCTCAAGTAGCCGAAAACTTTCACATTCCAAAAAAAAACAAGTCACGGCTGGAATTGAACTCCCGGGCTTTGTCGTTTCAGAAAAAAATTCAGGCTACGGGATACAAGCCGACAAACACTAACTGACAGATGATAGTGTGAAAAAGCAAAAAATTCCAGTTTGCAAAAAAATAGCTCCGGTCCAATCAAGCTTTTGACGTTCCAAGAAGATGCGTTACCTCAACACGAGATGAACCAAGACGTTGACTGAAAAAATTTTCACGGTTGAATTCTGTTAACAAAGTTGATTACAGGGAAGAAAAAGTCTAGTACCCGGTTTCAACACCCTTGCTAATCGCAAGGCAAACATGCGCTCTTGAAAAAATCAAAAACAATCGACTAAGGCCAGTTACTGTGCAGTTAGGAAAAAAATTTCCGACCAAAACGATTTTAATAATAACATCAAAATCATGGAAAACTTTTATAAGAAAATCGATTAGTTGCATTTTTTGCATTTATTAATTTGAAAACTTTTAATTTTTAAAATTTCACTTAATTCGACTAGGGGCCCAGCTGAAAGCTGGAGAGACCTGTTTGATTATTTTAATATTGATTATTTCAAAATTGTTTTAAAATTTCAGGTTTCTCAAGTCGATAGCGCCCTTCCTACGCAAAAAAAGTGAGAGAGAAGCTTATGCATTCATTGGTAACGCTTTGGTAAAAAGTTTTCATGAGGGAACTTTTCAAGTCCATAGGTGTTGACTATAACTGACATCACAAAAACGTTCTGGAACAAACCGACCTGATTAAAGAGAACTAGCGTAACTCGTGCAACTTTTCGTTGGACTTCTTCGAACCATACAAAAAAACTCAACACAAAGCCAATAGCACCAAGCAAAAGCGAGAAAACGTAAGCATAGCGGATTCCATTGTCTAAAAAATACACACAATAAGTATATTGAATCTTTGTTCCAATGCCAAAAAAGTTTAAAAAAAACTTTTCCTAAGTGTACAGCTCTTCCCCGAGACAAATTAAGGACCAGCCGCTTGGGCAGGGGAGTTTCCTACAACCTGGTCTATCGATTAAACCCTTAATCCCAAATCTGGATGGGTAGTTTTTGAAGAAATCGAAAAAGTTTGAAAAAATGGCCTTAAAACCGAAAAATTGACTATTCCTAAGTGTATAGCTCTTCCCCTAGACAAATTAGGGACGAGCCGTTTGTGTAGGGGGGTTCCTACAACCTGGTCTATCGATTAAACCCTTAATCCCAAATCTGGACGGGTAGTTTTTGAGGAAATCGGAAAGATTTGAAAAAAGGCCAAAAAAGTGACTTTTCCTAAGTCTATAGCTCTTCCCCTAGGCAAGTTAAGGACCAGCCGCTTGCCGCTTGTGCGGGGGAGTTTCCTACAACCTGGTCTATCGATTAAACCCTTAATTCCAAATCTGGATGGGTAGTTTTTGAGGAAATCGATAATTTCCGAAAAAATAGGCAAAAAAATCAAAAAAGTGACTTTTCCTAAGTCTATAGCTCTTCCCCTAAGCAAGCTCTTCCCCTAAGCAAAAAATACGCAAAAAAATCAAAAAAGTGACTTTTCCTAAGTCTATAGCTCTTCCCCAAAGTCTAGCTCTTCCCCTTCAATGCCAAAAAACTTTTAAAAAAACTTTTCCTAAGTGTACAGCTCTTCCCCGAGACAAATTAAGGACCAGCCGCTTGGTCAGGGGAGTTTCCTACAACCTGGTCTATCGATTAAACCCTTAATCCCAAATCTGGATGGGTAGTTTTTGAAGAAATCGAAAAAGTTTGAAAAAATGGTCTAAAAACCGAAAAAAAGACTATTCCTAAGTGTATAGCTCTTCCCCTAGAAAAATTAGGGACGACCCGTTTGTGTAGGGGGCGTTCCTACAACCTGGTCTATCGATTAAACCCTTAATCCCAAATCTGGACGGGTAGTTTTTGAGGAAATCGGAAAGATTTGAAAAAAGGCCAAAAAAGTCAAAAAAGTGACTTTTCCTAAGTCTATAGCTCTTCCCCTAGGCAAGTTAAGGACCAGCCGCTTGTGCGGGGGAGTTTCCTACAACCTGGTCTATCGATTAAACCCTTAATTCCAAATCTGGATGGGTAGTTTTTGAGGAAATCGAAAATTTCCGAAAAAATGGGCAAAAAGTGAAAAAAGTACCGAGTTGTGAAGCTTTTCTAAGACCGTAGGGGGTGGGGTAGGGTGAAAATTGCCCTAAATTTCATGCAGGCAGGTAGGTGATATGTTACTGAATCCATCGGTACTTTTATGAGAATCTGACGGGTAGTTTTTTGGGAAAGCGAATTTTTCGAAAAAGCGCCTCAAAAAAAATTTAAAAAAAATGATAAAAAATAAAAAAAAACCAGATCTCATCTGGAAAAAAAAAACGTTTTCATAATACCTGTTTAATAAATCAAACAGGAAGTCAAGAGCAATTGAATCAAGTAAATATGAATGAGAGAAAACTTTACAAAAACGTAGCCCACTGACATTTGGAAATAGTAAGGAACGCAAGGAAACAGAAAAAAAAAACGATTTTAATAAATAACATCAAAAATCATGGAAAACTTTTATAAGAAAATCGATTAGTTGCATTTATTAATTTGAAAACTTTTAATTTTTAAAATTTCACTTAATTCGATTAAAGGGCAATTGAATCAAGTAAATATGAATGAGAGAAAACTTTACAAAAACAAAGCCCACTGACATTTGGAAATAGTAAGGAACGCAAGGAAACAGAAAAAAAAACAATTTATTTTTTTTTGAAAAAAATTCAAACTTGCAAATCTAAAGAAAAAAAAATATGTCCTTAGAGCTCTTTAAATTTCACAAACAATTTGAACCTTTTTTGAAAAAATTAACCCAATTTAACAAAACTTGATCAATAGGTAAACCTTTAATTTCACTGCATTATGTGATAATTAAATTCCCTTCTCGCAATTAGAATTCGATCACATTTTTCGTGACCTTTGTAATTTTGCTGTTCGAAATTGGAGTTTGCTTTCTTTTTAATAAAGGAAAAGAAGTGAACTTAAAAAGAAATCAGAAGTCAAAAAACCTTTTTCTAAAAAAATCACCTAGACCTATATAAGAGTGCTCGCTACGTTCATTACTCTTAAAGACGTAAAATTTCAACTAAATCAAACTTAATGTCAATAAAATTGAGTTGTCAGCATAACCAAACTTCAGAATATGGCTGAAAAGGCTTTATTATCAGGCCACAAGGTACCCTCTACAAGCTTTTCTTGAAGCGGTAAAAACTGCGGGAAAAACACGAGATAGTCACCTCGTTAAAAGGTAGGAAGAAAAGGTCCGTCCCTTCACCTCGTTAAAAGGTCGGAAGAAAAACAGAATATACTCCCGCACTGTTGGCGGCAGCCACAACCTACCTTGAAAATCGGAAACAGAAGAAAATTCAAGTAAACTCATATAAAATGGGAAAAAATATTTAAAGAACGTTTAGCTTGAAACGTTGTCTCACTAAATCAGATCGATTTCGAACTACAGTTACAACTTATTGGGTCAGAGGAAAAAGACTCTATTCAAGATGCTTCAAGGCAAATCTATTCAAGATGCTTCTGAAAGTTTCAGCACAGAGGCTAAGCTGAGCCTCGCACCACTTGCAATAAAGAAATCCATTTAATCAAAAAAAATGAAAGGCCAAAAAAATCCAAGTTCCCATACTCATTTTGATGAAAACCAGTGGCGTACTACGACAGCCAGAATTGAACTAGCAAAAAAATAACGAGCGGTAACTCTACTGACAAAACCGGGATAAATGGTAACAAAAAATCTAAACGTGGGATTTTTTAGAAGAAGAAATCTTAGAAAAACTTTTGAATTTTGTTGTCAAATTTGATGTGTCACTAATCTAAATCAATTAGCAACAAAAATTCCAGAAATCAAGAGAAAATATGACGGAAAAATGCTCTGAGCTAAAGCCAAAATAAGACGAGAAAAATAATTAAACAAAAGAAAATGCTGACAAAAAACAGTCTTCTTTTTCATTTTTTTTCGCTAGCAGGAAGTTTTTGTAGGTATAGAAACGAAATAAATAAAATAAATTAAACTGCTTGCACTTCAAATGCAAAAAAAACACAGTCAACAGACAGTTGGAAAAGAGTCAAAAAACCAATCCACTCTCGAAATTAGAAGTCAATCACGTTTCTCGCGACCCTAACACTTTGACTGTTCATTAGTATAATTTCGCTTCCTTTTAACAAAGGAAACAAACTGAACTTCAAAAGAAACCAAAAGTCAAACAGTGAATATTTTTTTTGAGCCTGAACAAATTTTAGAACTTTTCTTGAAACTTCTTTAATTTACTTTGGCTTCTTTAAATTGCAGGCTAGTAACAATTTACAGTAAATTAAAAATCAATTGACGAAAAAACTGATCGAAAATTCTACCTAGAAAATTAGCGAATAAACTCATGACTCACTCATGAGTTTATTCGCCATTTTCTGGGTGTAATTTAAAAAAAAAAACGAAAAAGAAAATCATTGCGACCCATATAAGAGTCTGAGCTATGTTCATCGACTCTCAAAAAACAGTATACTGAGCTATGTTCATCGCATCTTAAAAACACCATACAAAACCCTAGAAAAAAAACATTAAATGTTTTAGAAACAGATACAAAAATCTCAATTCTTACTTTAAAAAAATCCGAGCAAAATACGAATAAACATAGCCAACTGACAGTTGGAAAAGAGCAATGAACGCAATGAAACGGAAACAAAAACTTACTTGTTTTTTTTCAAAAATCTTTAACTTTTGAATTTCGAAGAAAAAAATAGATGGCATTGAAGCTCTTTGAATTTGTAGAACAATTTATGATGAACACTTTTTTGTCAGAAATACCCAATTTGAGAAAACTGGATCAACAGGCAAATTTTTTATTACACTGGGATATCTGATAGTTAATTTCCATTTTCGAAATCAGAAGTCGTTCAAGTTTTTCGAGACCTCTACACTTTTGCTGTTCGATAGAGGAGTTTGCCTTTCTTTGAACAATTGAAATGCACTGAACTTAAAAAGAAATCACTAGTCAAACCGCGAAAATTCAAAACTGAGCGTGAACAAATTTTAAAGACTTTTTCCTGTAAAAAAACAAATAAAAAAAATCACAAAGACATATAGAAGACTCCTCACTACGTTCATTAATCTTAAAGAAACTTTAAAGGTAATTTGTAATAAGCTAGCACTTAAGGCCTTCCAACACGTGTTTATTGGCGAGTTTATTGCTCAAAGAAGTTATCGTTCAACAAAAAAATTGCAGGCTAGTAAGTATTTACAGTAAATTAAAAATCAATATACGAAAAAACTTATCGAAAATTCTACCAAGAAAATTAGCGAATAAACTCTTGACTCATGAGTTTCTGGGTGTAATTTTCAATCCGTTTTTTTGTGAATTTTTTTTAATTTTCTGTAAGTGTCATGACTCCAACTTACTTCGCCAAAACGCATATGATGAGAACAGTAGCCTACTTAGGAAGAAGTATCGAGGAAAATATCCAAACAAAGCTTTGTTGAAAATAGAAAAAAAAACTCTGAAAAAAATTTCAAATTCAAAAAACATTTTCACTTTTTCTAAGCATATCGGAGAAGCTATTTCAAAATTTCAACACAGGCGCAGCTGCGCTTCACAAACACTAGTCAGAACACGACAAAAAGCAGCTCTATAAAATGCAAGGAAAAAATCAAAAGCAGTAAAAACTCGGCTAAGTCTCGGATTCGATCTGCCACCTAGAAATTTTAAGTCTCAGGCACTAACCACTCAGCCATGAAGGCTTAATAAATCACATGCACTAGCCACAAACAAAGCAGAAAATAGATGCTTTGAAATTTCCAAAGCCGCGGATTGTGATTATAGCCAAACTGCCACCAAATAAGTGAACACTTTCAATAAACACTAGAATAGAGCTTGGTTAGAAAAAAATAAGGTTCGTAGTAATACACTTCGCTTGCAAGCTGGCTAGTGTAAGCATACCGTGTCAAAGTTAAATCAATATAAAAGCACAACTGGAAAAAAGTAAAAAACATTAGGTAAATAAGCCGAACGAATTAAAGCCGACTGAGAGTCAGTGAATTAGAGAGTCAGTTAAATAATAAAAAAAATAAGATATAAATATTAGACCAGAAAGAGTAAGCTTGTATTCTACGTTGTCTTTCTAAATCCTTTTCGAGAATATAACTTGATGCGAATTTTTGATTCTAAAAAATTGCAGATCCGCTTGTCGCTTATATTTACTTACTAAAATGGTTTGCGGTTCATCATGAACTTTGGTAAATATTCATTATTCGTTTTCTTCTTAACAGGTCAAGCATGCAACTTTCCACAGCAAAAATGCGCATTTAAATTGACTTTGTTTAAAAATAACTATAATCAAAACTGTTTTTAGTTATAAATAATTATCCAAGCTTCGTGATATCGTAAGAAACCTATTCCTGGAGGCGTCAAGTAACAATATTGAAACTACAGCCCACAGATCACGGCCAATTTTCCAATCTTAATTTAAAATGCAATCTGAAACAGCGAAGTATTCGCAATGCTATTTCTCAGGTTATATTTTGATTAGCCGAATATAATAACAAAAAAATGAACAATCATTGGGCAATTTTTATTTAAATCTACATTCTAAGTCATTGGTTGAGGTGATAAATTCAGGAAGTCTATTCCCTGTTGAGTTTAGAAAATGATTTTCATGGCATCTATGAAATCCTCGACGGTCATAGTTCTCTGCGAGCTTGTTCCAGCCGTTTTATGACCTTCCGATTCCATTTCAGACCCATTTACTCCACCCTTCTCGTCCGAACAATATTCTGCAGAATTGCGTTTCGTGTTGGTAACTGAGAACATGTCTTCTAGCTCCGGAACAGTGACCACACTGTCCACTGCATCAGTGTAAGCTAAGGTTAAGTAGGCACTGCGTTTTTAAATGCAGACTTCACAACTCCCAAGAAATTCGATCTTTTCACTAACTATAGGCCCTTCACTTTCATATATTTAACAGGCAAGTGACACCAATGTATGCCAATTTTATAAAAAGACCAGGGAAACACATTTCGCTTTAAGAATCTCCAAGCTCTGATAATCAGTTGCCGATTGAGGGCTTCTAAGTCCCTCTTCTACGAGATTTGACCCCCTGACAACCCAAAGGGTCTTCTGTGCGACTAGCAAGCGTTATCGAATCGGAATATGACTTTTTTCGGGTTAACAACTTGTTTTACAAAATCAGTTGAATCACTCCTGATGCTACCATGCTGAAATGCTCAACTTCATGAGAATTCAAACTTAACTACCGGGTACTAGTTATTACTGTATGCTATATATAGAACTCGAATCCTTGAACTAGAATCACTTATGACTGTGACATGCTCAGTTCATGAAAATTCAGTTTTAGCTACCGTGTAGCATGCTAGATTACTTGTGTCTACTGCATGCTATATCTAGAACTGTATTTATGATTATTTATCGACTTAAGCTCTGCCGCTTTACCTTCCAAATTGGTTAATCTACTTTGTGTACGCTATCTAGTTAGCTATCGTGGATCCTATGTGTGCGTTACTTGAAATTTTTTCCAAGGTGTTCTTTCGACAAAAACTTTTGGCTCAGTTTCAGCTTATTGGATGTCGGCTTCAATTCTGTCTGCTTATTTACCGAATTCTTTCCCCTTAAAATATGCGGTAGTACTTTTGAGATTGATAAGAATCTGACACGCCTTTTCGGATGCCCAAATTGAACCCCATTAGGACCTCTTTGAAAAACTTTCCTGAGCTTTTTTGTTTTTTTTTCTCGTTTTTTGTTTTTTTTCTCGTTTTCCCACTTGCTTCTTCAATTATAACATTGTCAAAATTCTGTATGCTAATTTTTAAGCGTTACTGTGCACTCACCTTGCGATACGTCAAAAAATGGAACGACTGCTAGATTGATTTTCTATGTCTCGAAGGTGGTTGATTTTGAAGAAAAGATACTGAGAAACACAATTGTCAGTGCAAAATAAATCTTAAAAAATAACATTCACACAGAGGCGAAGCTGAGCTTCGCACCACTTGCGATACAGAGGATAAATTCACCATGATGATGAAAAATTAGCAAACAGAACTTCGAAGGATGTTACAGTTGAAAAAGGTAGTGAAAAAACGAGAAAAACATTTAAAAACGTTTCGTGTTTGAAATTTTCTGAAATTTATCAAAGAGGTCCTGGTGAGGTTGAATTTGGGTATTCAAAAATTGGTTCCAGGGTCTTTTAAAAGTACTGCATTTTAAAAAAGAAAACCGGTAAAAAGCTCAGCAGAATTGAAGCCGACATCCAATACGCTGAAATTCAGCCGAAAACTTTCGTCAAAAAACATATTGGAAAAAGTTTCAAGTAACTCACACATAGGATCCACGATAGCTAAATAAATAGCGTATGCAAAGTAGATTACTTAATTTGGAAAGTAAACAGGCAGAGGTTAAGTCGACAACCATGAAGACGAAAAACTATCAGAAAATAAATACCAAAACCTATAATCATAAATACAGTTATAGATATAACTTCTAGATATAGCATGCAGTAGACACAAGTACCCCAGCATGCGGTAGCTAAAACTGAATTTTCATGAAAATGAGCATGACAGCGTCATAATTTTGAAACTAGTTGTTAACCCGTCTATATTTCGATTCGATAACGCTTGCTAATTGCAAGCGTAATCAAATGGTAATAGAGAAAACAAAACTTTGAGCTCTAAAAAATTTTTAACTCCCGTTTTTCGCACCCCCTTTCAAAAACATGATGGTACCCTCTTTCGTTTTTCGCACCCTCTTCAAAAACATAAATATTTTGGCCATCAAACTATGGATTATGAGGCAGATACACAATTATAATAAAAATGTGTTTTCGGGCATTACATCGAAGACGTACCAGCTGATTCAACTGATTTTGTTTAACTAGTTGATTACCCGAAAAAAGTCTATATTCCGATTTGATAACGCTTGCTAATCGCAAACGTAGAGATATTCCAAAGGAGCTTATATACACTAATGTGAGTCGGGCCGAAAATCGCGCCAAAAAACCTGATTTTTTGGTCAAATTTTTCTCAAAAAATAGATAAAAATGTCTTTTGCCCAGTTTTTTTTCGAGGCGAAGGAGCAGAAACTTTGGCAAAACAGTGTCTGTATAGTGAATTGGAAGAGCTTGGAAACTCAATTTGGTCGACCCAAAAAGAGAATTGGAGTCTCACACCCTGCCCTCTCGGCCACGAACGCTTAAAAACCGGCAAACACTAGTCACAAATAAAGCAGCTTCATATGCTAACAAATTGCCAATGTCATGCAAGCAAACGTGACGCCAAATATAAATACATGCAAAATTAGTCGCAGGTAATCGTTTGAAACATAACAAACTGATGTCATCCACACTAATTTTGCATGTAATAAATTTGAAACCACAGAGCCACTTTATGTGTAAATTATGCATTTCAAAAAATGGCGAGATATATTGAGATGGAAAAATTCTGAAATCGAGTTTTTATTATTGTTATGTTGTTTGAAACAATTAGCTTTTTTTTCGGTTCATTTGATAAATTAAAAATTTTCGGTCCATTTGATAAATTGCATCAACTGTCTTAACTTAATACTATTCGATAGTCAAAGCACATGCTATCACAAAGCCGCAGATGTGCCCCAAAAAGGCACCAATATGTGTGACTTAGGTTAGAAAAAAAAAGAAAAGCCGTAGTATAACAATAACGCTCACTAATGTTCGCTAGTGTAAATATATGCAGAAAAGTTATCGAAAAAATTTTTTATAATGCGAACACGCAGTGCCTGGTGGATTTCCGCCCGTATTCTCCAACTCGTTCTCGTTGCTTGACATAAACTTGTTCACAGCAAACTCCATCTCCTCAAAAGACACAAACCCCTTTCCTCTACTGTCAAACACTTTGAACGCCTTCCGCATTTCGTCCTCGGAGGGAGACGGATCCCCTATCACGCTCGTTAGAAGCTCGAGGAATTGAGGAAAGTCTTCTTCGGATTTCGCAATGAGTTTGTCGATGTCCAAGTCTGTTGCATGTTGACCCATCACCCTGCATAAAATTTACATCTTTCTTTGCATTAAAGAATTTTGAAACTATGTTAACTGCATTAAAGGACTTTGAAACTAATTTTGAAACTATATGACCATGTTTTATTGTTCACAAATTGGTTTTCTTTTGTCCAGCAATTTTTTTCAGGAATTGCCTAGCAACTCAAAGGGGACGAGCTGTCGCTTAAGCCAGTGTTGATTGGTTTTCTCCACCTTTTTAACACCAAAAACATCATACAGTTCAAATCCATGTCATTTAAGACCTAAACAAATTGATGCTGCCTATGTTATACTGAAATTAAGTAAATATATTCCTATAAAAATCCAGACCAATGTGAAGCCACTGCTTGTCAAAGCGTACTTCAGAAAAGCTAATAAGATGAGGCCTCTTGAATGATGGAGCCTGGTATCAGAGCATCGCGACATTACTATATAAGACTCAACTTAATATTTTAAAGGAGTTAAATTCGAAGTTTTGATCTCAATATCACTTCTAAAAGTGAACTAGGAAAACTTTATTGATTTTAATGGTTAAAAATAAGATTTTTTGTCAACTCTGATCTACATTTTTAGTTCAACTTTGTAAATGTAAATTTGGATATATTCGTACACTAAGGATTTCAGTTTGAATTCAACTCTACTTAAGTCCAGACGATCCTCTTACAAATTTTCCAACCAAATTTTCCTACCTAAAAAGAGCTTTGATGTCGGCGACTGTCAACTTGTCTTCAGATCTGATACTTTCGGTTTCGAACTCCATTCCACTGATTCCACTGGAAGAACCTCCCTCTTCTGAACTGGATCGGGCAGTCAAAATAGCATCCCAAGCATCCAACGCAAGCATGCTCGAATCAGTCGTCACGGTTGCCCCACACGGAATATTTTTCAATCGCAACAACGCTTCTCTGATCTCTTCCAAAGACTTGAGGTCCATTTTGAACCAATCTTTTTCTTTCCTTTTTTCAGTTGTAACTTCAGCAATAAGTTTCAAATTCAAAATGATCGGAAGAATTTTTAGCGAGCTTCAATATTGAAATTATTAATCTTGGTTTATTTTTCGACTAAAATTTGAAATCTCTCTGGTTAAGATTCTTGATCAAAGATAAACAGCTGAAACAACATCGATTGCAACTGCTTTTACAGCGAAAGTAAACTGAGAACTAAAATTGAGTGCATTGCTATTGACTTATCAGTCCATCAAAGTAAATCAATCGATGCGATCGAAGAAAAAACCTCAATCGATTTTCCCGGAGAGAAAACTCTCGAGCGTAATCGAAGCATCACTTCAGTTATTTTCTACGAGTGGTTCAATTGATTGAGAAAATTAGCAACAAAAAGCTTTTTATGCAATTAGACTCAGCAGTGCTCAAGTGTTTAATTGATTTGTAATTTTTAAGGACCAAAACAAATCAATGGTTTCCTTGTCACAACAGTCGAATTTGATCTGCGTCAAGATGTCATCTCAAAAAACATTGACTGAAATAGCTTATTGATCCGACCACCCCCTGGGGAGCGATCTATTGCGCATGGTACTTGATATTGCAGCTTTTTATCTAAAAAAGCTTATAGGAGGTCAAGTGTGGCATCATATTTAAGCCATATTAGTCGTGATTGGGGTTCTTTAAATTTTTTTTCTAAAATGTCGAGAAACACTGGCCGAACATTTTCGGTTTTCAGACTAAATTGGATAATTTAAAGAGTCTGACCTCCAAATTTAATTCTACTAAAATCTAACATTAATTTAGCAAATATTTACAACTAAATTATGTGTTTTTCACCGAACTGAATAGTCCCTTATTTCGAAAACAAAAATGACAGAAAAAAAACAAAGATAAACTTCAGCACTTCATTTTCAAAACAGAGCGGGTTGCTGTGCAAGTAGCACAAAATGTGCCGACCACAATAATTTAAGAGGGAAAAATAGTTTAAAAACATTGAAAAATAGCAAAACTTTTTAACGACAGTAAAAACACTAATCTGAAACTTTTTAGACTACGAAGAACGCCCTGTATGGCTTTAATATGATACCATCCTTTACTCTCCAGCATGGTTTCCAGAGTTAGTTTAATTGATTTGAAAAAGAAAAACAAACGGAATCCATGCTAAACTTTTCTGCCACTCTTCGTGTGGTCGGAAAAACTTTTGTTAACACAAGTATAGCCGGTTACTGTGCAATTAGGACAGAATTTTCCGGCCATAACCCAAAAAAAAATTTTTTATATTTTTCAAATTAATGTCGTTTTTTCTGCATGGTGTGATAAAATGATCTGAACAAAAAGCTTGAAATTAGGAATATTCGACATTCACAGTTAAATTGGCAAGTTGGGCAAAACTTCTGTAGAAAAATTACCTGACTGAGAAAACAAAAAAAACATCAAAAAAAATTAAAATGGCAGATTTTTTTTTGAATTTTTGAAATTTTCAATTCCCAAATGGCGCTAAAAACTCCAAAAACAACTTTATTTGAGTAAAACGAAGTTTTCCTGGCCTTAAGCAATCAAAAATAAGCGATTGTAAGACTGCTCGCTCGCATTATTTGCTCGATTTCAGACTAAAAAATCAACAATTTCAAACCATTTTTTCTTGAAACTTTTAAAAGTTCGTTCGAATCACGACTGGAAGGGCTTTAATATGATATATCACCCGACCCATTCCGTTAAGTGATTGTGGCACCTGATTTTGCGCGGAGAAAACACTAAAAAACACCCGAATACAAACTTAATCCCCATTTTTCAAATAGTCGGAACAACAAAAACTTAATTCCCTTTTTAAAACAGTTACTTTCGCAAGTGTATATATTTGTTTGCGTTAATAAATACTCGAACACGTGACGACTCAAAGAGTCCGTCCTTTGATGCTAGCTATTTTATATTATCCCTTTACGGCCGACAAAATATCAAAATTTTCTAAAGCCGCTAATATATGTTAACTTTCAGGGGCCTGTGCCAAAAACAAAAGCAATTTGTTCGGTCAAAACTATCCAAAACTTGCACAAGAACGGCAATTTTGATCAACTATTTTCAAAACTTGCTTCCGAAGCAAACATTTTAGCAGAGTAAGAGTATTTAGGGATAAAAAAATATCCAAATTGATCTGGCTAAAATTTTCCCACATTTGTCTTGAATTCCTTTCGATAAAATATGCATAAAATTAAAAAAAAACTGATTGTTAAAAAAGCATTGAAATAAAACCTACAAAGCAACAACAACGCCGAGAATTCTTTAGCAGACGCACGCTTGCAGAAAAATCATTTTATAACAAAACCAGCTCCTCACCAGTATCGAACCCATTGCCTTTGTTACCTCCAAACTAAACAGGCCAAATTACTAACTCTAACTTGATATAACATTGAAGTTACAACAACAATATAATAATCATAATGATAATCATAAAAATAACAAGTTTGTAACCAAGTGTAATAAATTAACTACACAGAGGCGAAGTTGAGCTTCTCACCATTTGCGATACACAATAGTGATCAAAAAATCAAAAGATAGTTTGTCTTTAAGTAAAATTGCAAAACATTAGCGAATTTTGTTGAAGAAGTCGTAGGCTCAAAAATCAGAAAAACTTTCATTGCAATTGTATTAGAAATCAATTACCTTCAAAACAAAAGGAGTTGGGCTCACCTCCATCCATATATTGCTGATAAACTATATAGAGAACGATAAGAAAACATTTCGGTCAAAAAATTGAGATAGGATCATTCCTACATGTACTCAAAAACTCTTCAATCAATCTTGTAACCGAACAATCTTTATATTCAATAAGAACCATCGGGGATAAAGACCCTTTCCGGTATAGTATAAGATCAAAATGAGAAAGAAAACGAAAAAAAAATTCAAACATGAATGTAAAAATTACAATTAATTACCACAAAAAAGAACTTGCAGAAAAATTAGAAAAAACTCTGAAACCCCATGAAAATGAAGCAATTACATCAAAAATTATCAACTATGAAATTTGTACGCAACGGTAAAAAAGCTAGATCACAAAAACAAAAAAATGATAACATTATAAAAACTCCAAAAAAAGGAAAAAAACATGTACAATTTTTCAAAAATCTCAGCCAGACAGAACCATCCGCCTAAATCTCGTGCAGAACGTTCCGCCACATTCCTTCGTAAACAAAAAATTCAAGTCAAATTTGCAAAAAAATCTGGAAATTTATCAATTTTTAAACCTTGAATCGGTTTCAAATAAAACTGTTTAAAGCTAAAACACACCAAACTAAATAAAATTAAAACTTGTTTCACGCTTTTTAAAAAAAATCAAAAACCCAAAAAAGTTCATTTCTAAGACAAAATGTTGGCACCTATAAGAACTAGAAAACCATGAACTATAATTACCCTTATAAAATAAAGAAAAAAGTATCAAAAAATCTACCAAAAACTTACAGAATTAATTACCCGGCAAGTAAGTCGACAAAAATTGGGTCGAAATCAATAAAGCAAACAAAAAATCAACTTACACCTTAAAATCTTTTTCAGCTGTAAAACAGTTATCACTTGAAGCCAGCTTTTGAATTACAGCAGTTAGACGTACGTCTTGCGTAGGAATAGAGATACATCAGAATATGACCAAAATTCAGTCATCCTGTGGACAAAGTTGTTTTTGGGGAAAAAAGTCTAGTACTCGATTGTAATACCCTTGCTTATCGCAAGGGTAATAAAAAGCCGGGACAAAAATTAATTTAAAAAAACCAAGAAACATTTGACAATTTTTTATACCTATTTTTTAATTTTCATTTCGGAGCGCTCACGAGTGATTTGGATTTTTCAAAAAAATTTCTCGTTAGAGTTCAACCGTTCTTATGTAATACCTAAGAAAATTAATTGAAAAAAAAACATTAAGAAAATAAACCGACAGAAACAAAGCCAACAGAAACAAAGCCCACGGACCTCGCTACCGAAAACTTTTCAGCACAGAAAAAAATTACTTAGCAACTCTCAGCATTCATGCAAGGTACATAAGCACCTAATGCACTCAAATAATGCTATTAATTGAGCGATCATAAAATTTACCATTTGACAATTTTGTGAACAAAGTTATTCGCGGGATAAAAGGTCTAGTACGCGGTTGCAATGCCCTTGCTAATCGCATAGCTGAAGATAAAATTCTAGATAAGGAACCAATTCTAGTTATTGCAAAATTCGGGTGAGTAGAAAACTTACCTTGCTCGACCTTGTAGAGGGTGCGTTCTGTGAACTCTCCTCGCTTGAGGGTGATGATATGAGTGCCTACTGTCATTGCCGTGGTTCTCAATTGAAATCAACGATCATTTGATCTGGAAGTAAAACTAAATTCAACCCAATCGTCAGCAAAACACATTACACATGAGAAAACAACACATTTAAGGACAAAAAACATAAAAAATATCCGACGGTAAAATTACATTTTGTTTTATGGATAAGTTCTAAACTATTTTTTTGAACTAGCCAGCGTTTTCTCCTACTTCCTCTGCCTTGAGCTAGCACTTCTCATCCAACACGTGAAATCCCGACATTTTCATCACATGGCAATTAATTTTGTCATTGCATGATCTACTCTGCCGACTGACTATACAAAAGCAAACAAATCATCTGCGTAAGAACTTGTCATTGTCTGCTTTGGTCCTCTGCACGTTGTTCAACTTCGCCCTGATTCTATCAGCAACTTCCATTCCATCATCGTTGCGGGCCTTCATGAACCTTAAAGCTAGCAAGCTTACATAAAATCAAAAAAGATGATGCTGTCTAATAACTTGAGTGTTTGAGATTATGAATAGAGATTTGACAACTCAAGATGCTGCAACGCTAACCAAAATACCTGCTTCCTACAAGTTTATTATTACTAACTACTGCTACTTTTGTTTGTTAACTACTATGTTAACTTTGATCTTCCTCGCCACATCCTCTCTCTCTCTCTCTCACCTGGTTGGATCCTCGGTGTACTTCATCTTCTTGAACTGCTCCTCCTCTTTACTCATGGCCTCCTCGTGTCTCTTCAGCTGTTTCACCCGAACCACCTCGTGCTCCTTCGCATCCTCCATCATCTCCCTCCTCTTTCTCTCCAGCTCCTCTGCCGTCATCTTAGGAGGCACATAGGCCCCTTTGGATACCACTCCTGAAGTCTTATTGTTGTATTTTGACGATCTACTTTCGTTGCGAGAATTGTCAGTTCTACTTTTATGAGAACCTGAATCAAGACAAAATTTTTCACTATTTTTGCTTTTACATGAATAAGAAAATGGTTCGCCTGCTTTTAGCTTTGTAGCATTTGACTCTTGAGGAGATTTGGATCTGTAATGGCTTTGTGAAATATATTTATGGGATTTCGATGTTTTTGGTTCAGGAGAATGAGATAATGATCTAGATTTACTTCTCCGTCGCTTATCTTTTCCGCCTTTTCTTTCTATTTGTCCACGTGGGGGACTTCTGGACCTTGACCGAGAATGTTGTGATATTTTAAGCTCCCTTTTTAATTCTCCATCAGCGAACTTTTTGGACTTCCTTTTATCATAACTATTTGATCTAGATCTTGGCTGTTCCATTCTTCGTTCTTTGTTGCCTCGTTTATTCGTTGTAGAACTGGATCGAGATCTGGATTTATTGTAACGCTTCGTTATTTCTCGCTCGGAATTTTTCCTTTTTGAAGATTCTGAAAATGATTCAGATCTTGATCTGTCTTTGTCTCTTTTTGATTTATTTTTCTTACTTTTACTCTTTTTCTTCTTACTCGACTTCTCGTCTTCGACCATTTGCATTAGGTAAGTTTTGAACTTCTTCATTAGAACTGGATTATCAACTACTTGCCGTGCCTTCTGTTGTTCTGCTCTTTTGATAGCAACCAGTGGATCTTCTCTCAATTTACACAACTGATCGTATGTCGGATTCATTCCCTGATGTTCGAATGCAGCCCCGACTGACGTGGCAGCTTTGTCGTCTTCGTCTTCTCCAAACACATGTTGAATGAGTTGTTTGTCTATCTTCCTGCCCAGCATGTAGTCTTCAATCTTGAGCTCTGGCTTCGCATACATCCAGTCCATATTCTTGAGCTTCTCATTGTCCATATTTGATCTTAAAATACAGCAATACAATGTCTTCATAATTGCTGTTTCAATATAATTTTACAACTTCTCTCATATTAATCTGTATAAACTAACCCAACCTGGGTACAACTCATATATATCTTCTTAGGAATTTTTTTTTAATTCGAACTTGAAATTCAGATAAAGACTTATGTCCCAAACTAAGTTTTATTTACAAAGAAAACAGCAGAAAATGTGCTGCGAGCAATAAGCTCAGAGAAACCGGAAAAAAAATGGATCAAAAGGTATTTTATTTCGCAGGAAAATACAAAAAAGTGAAGCTGCACTTCGCAAACACAAGGAAAAAACATCAAGTCAAACTGCCAAAAATTAAATTTGAGCGCGAACAATTTATTGAAAAATAAAAGAAAAAAATAATTCGTTCGTCATCACTTGAAATATTGATAGTCCTTCATTTTTTTTACCTTATCCGCTTAACCAATCATAGATCTTTTATATACACAAAGAGGCGACGAAAACAATTCAGCAAAATTTTTGCAACGCAACTACTTACACATAACCAAGAAAATTGAAAAATGATTGTAAAATTGCTTAAATCATATGAAACCTCCAAGCTGTGAGGCAATTAAACCGACAAAAAAGCCAAGCATTGATTTTTTGTCACGCGGGAAGTTTCCCGTTGAAAACAGGTGCAGAATAGAACCACGGATCGAGATTCGTCTTAAAAAGCATGCACGTTACATCTACGCCACAAAAGCGGAGTTACGCCTTGATTTAATTTTATCCGAGGAGTCACATTATTGTTTTAAACTAGTTGTTAGCCTGAAAAACCTTTTATTCCGATTTGATTACTCTTGCTAGTCATAAAAAAGAACAAACAATTTTCAATTACATACAAAATCAATTACATGAAAACAATCCATACATGGAAATTAAGACAAAAATAGACGTCGAATGATTGTTTGAATTTTCGTTATTTCCCAGAAAAAACAACAACTTAACAAATATCGTAAAAAAACAAGCTTCAGCCGTGATTTTAACCCCACATAAACTTAAGGACTCCAAGGTACACATTTTATCACTAGACCAAGTAAAAAGGGTCCTCGAAGGTGATCAGGTTCCATAATAAAATAAGTTCAATTTCCTAGAATTGTAGAAAAATTTGCTTACAAGAGAAAACCTACATCCCGCTTAGTCGTCACTTGCTCTCTCAACTAAAATATAGTTCATTAATATGAGAAACTATTCAAGTATCTATATATTTAGAAGAAAAATGCTTTTTTCAACTTATTGTTTTCAACGGAACTTTTTATACTAATACCCTGAACTAAAACCCTCAAAACAAAAACATATTCAGCAGAATTGGAAAAGAGTCATGAACGAAAGGAAGCGAAAAAAAACGACTTGTTTCCTAGAAAACTTCAACTTGCGAATTTTAACGAAAAATATAAGCCCTGAAAGCTCTTCGAATTTCAAGATCAATTTATGAATGGTACTTTTTGAATATAGCCAATCGAAGATTGGAGAAGAGTTATGAACACAAGTAAACATAAAAAAACACTGAGTTTCCTGAAAAATCTCAACTTTCGAATTTCAAAGAATAAAATAGATGGCCTTTAAGCTCTTTGAATTTCTAGAAGGAATTGTGATTGGCGCAATTTTGATAACATTAACTCAACTTGAGAAAACTGGTAAAGAAACCGTTCACGTTTTTTGCGCCATTTCCACGTTCGTATTTGAAGATTGCTATTTACGTCACTTTCAGCAGATGCATTTCAAATGAACTCAAAAAGTGCATATATGCCTGAGTGCATTCATTAATGCACCAATATGCATGAAAGCACATCTGTAGTTAATAGAAACTTTTTAGACTTTTCCTGAAAACAAATCAGCAAGATCTATGTAAGAGTCTTCAGTACGTTCATTACTCTTAATAAAACTAACCCTATTTGAGAAAACAGGATCAATAGGTAATTTTTTAAAGGCCTATATAAGAGTAATAACTACGTTCAAAACTCTTAAAAATATTTCACTAAGATCTTTTTTGCATCTTTGTAGGGGTACGAAACTGCCATCTGAGATAATGGGTTTTTGCAAAATTTCTAGTTTTAAAGAAGCATATAGCAAGACATCGAACTAATCCGTCTCAGTAATCATTCCAGTTAAATTTAGAGAAGCAAATTGCTTTAACTATTGCTTTAATAGACGCAAGACCCATGTAGACGACAAGCAGCATTTCGCAAACACAAGCAACAGAAAAGGAAAAAATGAGCTCTAGATTTTGGAATCTCAAACTTAAGTGCTGAATTAAATTATCCGGACGAAACGAACAAAGTTTGAAATATCAAAAGCGTTTTGCTTAAATTGGGTTAGAATTAGACAAAAAGTGAACAGAATACAAGGTGCTTAGAATTACACCAGAAATAATATGGTGCATTGCTTAGAATTAAACTCAACCAAAATTGTACCCCAAAAATGGGTCAGTTTGGCTCTTTTAAATTGATCAAAAATTACACTGAAACTACCAAGTTAAATGATGAGAAATTTATATCAACAGAAGCCTCTTACAGGGGCCATCAAAGTTCTAGGAAATTAAAAATTTCAAAAATTTACGTTAAATGTTTAAATTTGTTTTTAGCCGAAGATTTTGATTTGTATATAGCAAAAATGACTTTTTTGGTTTTGAACCAAAATATAATCTCTTAAACAGCTTTTAGGGAAATTGACCCTTGTCAATTCGCCTCTGTAAGAGGCTTCTTTTGATATAACTTTCTCATCAATTAACTTGGTAGTTTCAGCGTAATTTCTGATCAATTAAAAAAACCAAAATGACCCATTTTTGGGGTAAAATTTTGGTTGAGAATTTCGGAAACAGAAATGCACTATATTAATTCTGGTGAAATTCTAGGCAACTTTTGTTCTCTTCATTTTTTGTCCTATCTTAGCCCAATTTGGAAAAAACGCGTTTGAAATTTCGAATGTTTCTTCGTTGTGTCCGGTTAATTTAAATCAGCACTGTATATCTGACAATTAGAACACTTCTTTCTTAGGTTAAATTTCCGAACATTGAAAACGGCGATAAATCAATTTACAAGCCAAGCTTTACTAAGTATAAACAAAATTTACATATATCGATTTCTCATAATTTCGACAACACAAATAGCAGTTCACAACACAGTCATAACTGTAATATTAAAAGCATGCACATCTAAATGCTAAAGCGATATATGGTACCCGACGACGACAAAATGTAGCCTAGTTGATTGTTGCCTAATGGGTTGTTTGTAGCTAAAAATTATTTGGTTGATATTGCACAGGTGGCATTAATAGGAATAGCAGCCTGTTTAATTCTTTTTGGCCTGTTTAGCAGCCTCTTCTGCTTTCTGGTCTCTCTCCACATCTTCTCTGTTCTTCCTCATGATTTCTCTGAACTCGAAGAAGTCGATATAACCGTCGTCATTCTTGTCGTAGTCTGTCAGAATCGAGTCAATGTGTTCCACTAACTCATTCACTGACCAATTCTTCGGGTGACTGTCGTCATGTTCTTTCGCTTTCTCGCCGTCCTACAAAACAACTAGCAGTCAAGTTGAACATTCTATGAATATGAACTGTCCCATGAAAAGGTTCAATAAAAACGTTCTTTCAAGCCGAATTGCATATGGTAAATAACTACATTCTCACACAAATCAGGAAGGAAAATTGAGAAAATTAGTTGACAAAGCTACCGAAACTGACATGTATGTTCCCGAAAAGTTTTCAATAACTTGCTTGTCTCTCAATCTTTCTACATGTCTTACCGGCTTGTCTGCAGATGCATCTTCTTTCTTCTTCTCCCCTCCTTCCTTGTTGTCCCCATGTTCCTTCTTCTCTTTCTCTTTATTTTCCTCTGGGCTGGGGTCTGCAGTGCCGTGTGATTCCATAATAGAGTGCAGTATCTCAAGCCCGTCCAACTTCGTGTCCTGGTCCATGTCGTGCAGGTAGAAGAAGTGGGTCGCTCTCTGCTCGTCATTCATCTTCTCCTCTGGCATCTTGGCCACATTCTTAACATCAACAAACAACACTTACAAGCCTCACTCAGATACAATTTTTATAAAACACAACAACTAACATCTTTTCAGCTATTCCACCACCTTATGATGCGCAGTGAAGAACAGCCTACCCCTTAAAAAGCTAACTCAAATGGCCGACTAATATATGCATTTTGCTAATTTGCATCTAAGAACTAACTCGCTCCCTTTTGAATTGGAAGGTGATTACACTCTTTAACACAAAGACGAAGCGGAGCTTCGCACCACTGGTGATGCAACAAAAGCACAAAAAAAAGCATACTAAGTCGAAATTAGTTTTAAAAGTAACTAGCGTGTACCGCACCTCCGGTGCTTCGAACTTTCAACAACTCAAAAAACTATTCTTTGAGTGCACTCTGACAGCACCCAATTACAGGGTTCGTAATTAAAAACTTTGCAAAGTTTTTTATTCAGGTTTTTTACACATTTTGAAGAACCATAAAGTTTTGTGAAATTTTATGAAAGTTCTTCGAAAAAATTAGAATGAACTAAGAAACGTCACATCTGGGAAACTGAAAGCAATTGAACAGTCGCATTTCGACGCAAGATTTGCAACTCCTGAGAGTAGCCTTACAGTACCCAACTACAACGTTGGGAAATTCAGATTTTGAGAAACTTCACCTTAAGTTTTCTAATAGAGGTATTTTTATTGAAAACAGAAAAAATTCACATTTCGAAAACTACCAAAATTGAGCAATCTTTTTTAATGGCAATATTCGCAATCTTTCAAAGTACACAACTACAGGGTTGGGAATTTCACTTTAACGAATTATTTTTTACTGAGTTTTCTGAAATTTCCAAAAAAAAAATAACAAAAATTGTCTTATCTCTTTAACAAAAATGATTTGGGCACTCTTAATTGGAGGCCGAATTTGCAAACCCTGAGATTACTTTGAGAGCCCCCCAACTACAGGTTAGGAATTTCAATCTTTGAAAAAAAAAATTAATTTAATTTTCATGAAATTTTTTTTTTGAAAAAATCACAAAAACGTCATATCTGGAAAACTGCAAAATTTTGAGCAGTTCTATTCAGAGGCAAGATTCACAACCCCCTGAGAGTACCCTCAAAGATTCCAATAACAGGATTGATATCTTCAAAGTTTTGGAATTTTTTAACATAAGTTTTTTTGAAAATTTCGGAGAAAATCATAAAAAAACGCCAGATCTCGAAAACTACAAGGATTTGAGCAGTCATATTGGGAGGCAAAATTCGCAACTCCTGGGAGTACCCTGACAGAGCCTCACTACAGTGATGAGAATTTCAAGTTCTGCGAAATTTTTGATACCTAAGTTTTCTTAAAAAAAAAATTTGGAAAAAATCCTAAAAAAACGTCATATCTCGAAAACTACGCAGCCATATTGAGAGGCAAGATTCGCAACCCCCTGAGATTACCCTCACAGATTCCAATAATAGGAATGAGATCTTCAAAAAGTTTGGAATTTTTAACATTTAAGTTTTTTCGAAAATTTCGGAGAAAATCATAAACAACGTCATATCTCGAAAACTACAGGGATTTGAGCAGTCATATTGGGAGGCAAAATTCGCAACTCCTGGGAGTACTCTGACAGAGCCTCACCACAGTGATGAGAATTTCAAGTTCTGCGAAATTTTTGATACCTAAGTTTTCTTAAATAAAAATTTGGAAAAAATCCTAAAAAAACGTCATATCTCGAAAACTACGCAGCCATATTGAGAGGCAAGATTCGCAACCCCCTGAGATTACCCTCACAGATTCCAATAATAGGAATGAGATCTTAAAAAGTTTTGGAATTTTTAACATTTAAGTTTTTTCGAAAATTTCGGAGAAAATCATAAACAACGTCATATCTCGAAAACTACAGGGATTTGAGCAGTCATATTTAGTGGCGAAAATCGCAACTCCTGAGAGTACCCGGACAGAGCCTCACTACAGAGATGGTATTTTCAAATTTTGTTAAAATTTTTATATCTAAGTTTTCTGAAAAATTTTGAAAAAATCTTAACAAAAAAAACGTCACATCTCGAAAACTACACAGATTTGAGCAACCATAATCGAAGGCAAGATTCGCAACCCCTGAGAGTATCCTCACAATATCCAACAACAGAATTGAGATTTTCAACATTTTGGAATTTTTTAAAATCTAAGTTTTTGAAAACTTTTTTTTAAAAAAAATCTTAAAAAACGTCATATCTCGAAAACTACAAGGATTTGAGAAGTGAGAATTGGAGGCAAGAATCGCAAAACCTGGTAAAACTCTGACAATATCCTACTATTGGTCGCTAATTTCAAATTTGATGGAATAAACACTGAATTTAAACTGAAACATCGAAAAAAACCTTAACCATTGCAATATACGATATAACTTAAAGGTGAAAAAATTCATTTGTTTAACATGCAAAAATAATACGTTGAAAAAGCTTAAACATGGCGAGATAGTGAAGCCCGCATTTAAATAGATAAAAAATAGATAATAGACATGTAATAGATGAAAGTTAAAAAATTTGGCGACGGGTAGACAGACATAATCAAATTAATTTAAAAAGCAGGCATACAGACAGACTTAATTTGACCTCGGAAAAAAATTCTGAAAAATTAATGACCTTGCAAAAAACGAATTGAAAAAGTTTCCTAAGCATTGCAATATATGATATAGCTTTAGCATCAAAAAATTCTTTCGTTAAACATGCAAAATTATTATGCTTAAACGTGGGAGATAGCTGTCACTCGCATTTAAATATAGTATTTTAAAAGTTATGAGAAAAATATATCCAAAAATTTTAAACTTATCAATCGTCTCAATACAAAATTATTCCAGTCAAAACCCCAGAAATTTGTACATTAAATTAGCAACGACATAAAACTTACAAAGAGTCAACAAAGTCGATCATCTTTAAGCATGAACAAATTGATACGAAAAAAATCAGGTATAAAAAAATCTTTAAGCTTCAAGTCCCACCTGAAAGTACAATGAACAATACTTGCACTTGCAACTACAGTGAAAGTAGCTTGCAGTACCAGAAAAATCAGTAATGTAGCAACTAAGCTAAGAATCTTTGAGCAGATACCAGTTAAGCCAGAAAAAAAAAGATTTTATAAAAAAATCTTTCAAGAGCTCCCCTGATACTAGAATGAACAAGAAATGCACACACTTGCTATGAAAGTTGATTACAGCACAAGCAAAATCCATGATGTTGCGTGTGCTGTAATCAACGATAGTAAGTATATCTATCAGTAGCGCGTAGTCTCATAAATCGTTCCAAAATGGTTAAAGGAAGCTAATTTGCCATAATTGATATTATACTGAGAGCGAAATCTATCACTTTGTACTTCATATGGCGTGTTGGGGATGATTTTCAAAAAAAATGCAAATTTTAGAAAAAAAATTCGTTTTATTTTTTTACATTTTATTTTTATAGGTTATTACTGCTCCTTAAACATTAAAAGGCAGTCGGAACATTCAGGGCTTCGCCCTGATACGAGCAGTCTTGTTTAACTCCTTTTTTTATTGATCTCCTTTTTTATTTTTAGTTGATCCTTTGATCTTTTTTGTTGATCTCCTTTTTTTATTTCTAATAATTGGAAGATTAGTTAGCTTACTTTTCATCACAATTTATCAAAACACTTTTGATTATGTTACTCCAACAATTTCTTTTCGCTGTAGCACAAATAGGTATGTTCTCAGCTTGTAACATGTTCCCTGTCACAAATCCGCTGGAAACTTGATCTACTATTTTAAAGCTGCAGTTCTGCCTTAGAATTTGGAATTTTACTGAAACAGCTGCATTAAAAAACCTATCAAACTAACACTTTTCAGTTATAACTGGAATTCCTGAAAATGTACCTTTCTGATAAAATAATGCTTCTGCGTAGCGTGACTCATCTGTCAGTTTTCCGACAAAATTTGAGCTGCTTAAGTATAATCGGTGCAGTTTTCTTTCAATATAAACATGCCCCGGCATTTTTTTAATAAGGAACTGCTACCAATCATCTGTTACCAAAATCCAAAATATATATCCAATATCATGCTCAATTTCGAATTTTGAGTAACCCGTCGTACTCCTGGCTGACTGGCCCGGAATTTGAAGTCAAATATCTCTTGGAGATAATTTCGACTTCAAACAAGTTTTCAACTACTTTTTACGAACTGAATCACTAAATCAAACTTTCAATATAAATCTCCTAAAAAGTTTCGCTACGAGTTTGAAATTTTCTTAAACTGAAACGGCCACTTTAAACTTCTGTTTTTTTTTTTGTCTCAACTGTTTCTGTAAATTTCTAAGTTCTAAGGCAGCCTCAAAATATTACATTATTCCTGCCTCAGAATATAAAAATTATGCAGAATCATGAAATAGTTTTATGCAGGAACATTGTGAAATCAGAATAATTCAGAAATATTGTGAAACTGAAAAAATCTTTTTTCAAATAATTCTCTTTTCAAACCAATCTTAATGAAAAATGATCTTAAAAAGAACAAGACTGCTCGTATCAGGGCTAAGCCCTGAATGTTCCGACTGCCGTTTAAAGTTTATGGAGCAGTTTATAACATTTAAAAAAAAAAGTAAAAAAAATGAAAATTTTTTTTTCTAAAATTTGAAACTTTTTGCAAAAATCATCTCCCCACACGCCATATTAAATACAAAAGAATAAATTTCGCTCCTTGTAGCAATTCAGTTATGGCAAATAAGCTTCTTTCAACCAATTTGGAACGATTTCCTAAACGGATTAAATCTCCGCTTACGCGTTAAAAGCGCGAAAAATATCGCGCATTAATTGGACCAAATTGCCAATCTTTAAACCCCCATAACTTTACAAAAAACGATCACAGGTGAAATATCTTCTCCAATTTGAGTTCAAGACAACAATACCTTTTAAATAGTATAAAAAATTTTTTGTAAAAAATGGCTAGTTAAAAAGTCGAAATTTGTCTGAAGAAAAAAAACCCCATCCCGAGCACAAATATTCCGTTACTTCATTTTATTACATTTAATTTTTGTATTAATTTTTGCTTCATAGACTTTAAAAGGCAATCGGAACATTCGGAACACGCCCTGATTCGAGCAGCCGTGTTCCGACTTTCGTAACTAAAGTAACGGAATTTTTGTGCTCGGGGTGGTTTTTTCTTCAGACAAATTTCGACCTTTCAACTTGCCATTTTTGACGGATGTTTTTCCATAAGTGATTTGTTACTCGGAGCAAAATTTATCACTTTGTACTTAATATGGCGTGAGGGGAATGATTTTCTCAAGAAATTTCAAATTAAAAAAAAATTCATATCATTTTTTTTACATTTAATTTTTCCCTGTTATTGCTGCTCCATAGACTGCTCTATAAATTGAGGGGGTTAGTTGGTAAGTTTCTTTTTTTTCAAATTAAATGGTACTGCTAATGCGTCATAATTGGCGTGCGTGACTTAAGAAATTTTGTAAACTCATTCAGTTTTTTCCTGTAGCGTTATCGGTCATATTTTTGCTTGTGTATGCGAAGCGCAACTTCGCCTATCTGTGTAATATATCATCCATTACTGTATTACCAGATATGTAAGTCATGAATGAACAACGAGCTTGTCACTGTAAAACGTTTTGATTATACAAGATTACAGAAATTTGGCTGCGTAGAAAACATGGTACGAATGGATTAGGCTAAGATCCCTTAAGTCACTATTCAAATGGTAAAAGATAAATAACTATTTATGAATAGCTAAAAAATGCTGGCATTTTTCCTTGATTAGTTTTTTCCTTCATTAGCTTCCCATGAAAAAGAGACTGCAGATTAGAAGTTCAGTAATATTTACTGTCGAAGATAGTTAAACTTGTAGGTTTGAATCTGAGCAGGTCCGGTTTTTTTTTTTTCAAACGGGAAATGTTCCGTTTCAAAAAAAACGTTCGGTATATTATCTGTCTGCTTATGTTTTGTCGGCTAAGTTGACACATCCTAACTTTTTTGCTGTATGTTTCCTTTTGTTTTTTCATTTACTCCGCAATTTGTAATTCTACCAAGCTTCTGGTATTTTCTTTTTTATTAATGTCTTCTTTATTTTTCTCTTAATTTTTCCGCCTAAATGATTTCGGCTCTATTTTATCGGCTTACTACCCTAATTTTGGGTCGTTTGAGGGAACCATAATTTGCATGCTTTCCTCTCGATTGTACAAAACGCTAGAAATTTCAAAATATAATTTATACCTAAAAGTTTTTCATGACAACATTTCATTTTCGCTCAATAATTGTTTTTTGAATTTTCATTACACGTCATCAAATGTGTTTATACGACGTGTTTTCCGCAAATAAAACGTCATTCCAGACAAAATTATGAAGTTTTTTACTTGGGGTTATTCCGAAATTGTTTACGTTTTCTTTAGATTTAGTGGCTTTCAGTTCCTGCCAGTTAGCTTGCAGTGCTATTTTGTGGTATCGTTTCTCCTCTGTGTCTTTAATATTGAAACCTAAGAGCGTTCAGGTCTCTCAAATTAGCCTAGGAGTTACACCTTTGCCTTTGCATCCTAAGGTCTGGAGTACGCGTCTCGGACGGACCTTGTTTTTTTTCAGTTTGTATGTATGCAATTGAAAAAGTTTCGGTTAAAAATGAACTGCCAGACTTTCATTTGTCTGCTCAAAATTTTTCAGTTAATTTTCCGATTAAACCTCCGCTTACGCGTTAATAGCGAGAAATATATCGCGCGAGATTAAATCTCCGCTTACGCGTTAATAGCGAGAAATAAATCGCGCGTTAATTGTCCAAAATGGGCCAGAATGGCAATCTTTGAAACCCCATAACTTTACAAAAAAAGATCACAGGTGAAATATCTTTTCATTTTTAAGCTCAGGACAACAATACCTTTTGAATGATATAAGAACATTTGGTCAAAAATGGCTAGTTTAAAAGTCGAAATTTGTCTGAAGAAAAAATCCCACCCCGAGCACAAATATTCCGTAACTTTCGTTACAAAAGTCGGAACAACAATAATAGTCTGTGTTAAAATCATTAGCATTGGCTGTACTTCATAGCTGGTTATTGATTAAAACGAACACTTTCAAAATGAACACATAATCGCAACAATATTTGCGTCGCAACCATATTTGCGACTTAGGTTGGATAAAAAAGATAATTCATACTATAACACAAGCATTGCTTGTGTAAATAGGTGGTAAGTTCAATTTAAATAGCTGGATCGCTTTTTGTTATATTTCGCACATTATTTATAATTATTTCAAAAGCCAAATTTTTTGGCAACAGAACAGTAAAATTTGAATAGCATTTTATTTGGCAGAGTAATGTATTTACAAAAATTATCTTAGTAGTAGTACAATTGATTGAAAATGAAATGACTATATTATGCATTATAGTTCTCAAATTTAATAAATGCACTATACTCAATATTACCACCTATTGTAATATATCGCCCAGTAGTGATTGGTATCAATCAGCTAATGTCCTAACGATGACTCTCAATGCCATCTTAAGTACCTGTAAGTGTTCTCTGATGTGCTCCTCGCTCTCCATTACATTCCCACTCCTCAGCTGCTCCAGCCTTATTTTGGCCTGGTCCAGACTCACTGACTCATGGTAATGTGGCATCCCCTCTGTTCCCCCGGGTCCCCCTCCAGCTGAGGAGTCCCCATGATGGCTATGCTCTCCCGCGTGGCTCCGCACAAATTGTGGGAGGAGTAAACCGAGGTGGGTAATAAGTACTAGGGATGCTGGAATGGTGGCAAATGAAGATACTGATACTAGTACCATATTTATATCTGCAGCAAAGACAACCGCAACACTACTTATATAAAACGAGCATTATTTAATGCTGACTGCTGCTGACTTTTGACCTTCTTGTTTTCGTTAGCCCAAGATAGCATGGGCAATAATTAAATTCAAATTGGGCAACTTCAATAGGTTATATATGTATTTTCATTTTTTCTGTATTTTAACTTGAATTTTCTACAAAATCGATTTTTACCAGGATAAAAAAACGTATCTCCATGACAAAAAATTACTCATGCTTAAAGATAAAACGAGTTGTCATGAAACTATAAATTTATTCATTTAATTCATTCATCGAGTTGACAGAAAACATCTTCGATAGTAAGTATATGTATCAGTAGCGCGTAGTGATATTCACATCAAAATTCTACTTAGACTACATTACATATCCAAAATTTGAAAAAAAAACCAGAAAAATGACACTGCTTAGAAAACTTTGATCACTTTGGTTGAATTAAACTTAATTGTTATGCAGTGAGCAAACTTTTCTTGGGACTCAACAAAAAATCGCATCAGTGTTGGCTGCAGAGCAAAGTCTCAAATAGTTTTTGTGAGTATTTAGCAGATTCCAAACTAAAACTGGTAGGTAAAAAAACAAGACGACAAGTTCGGAAAAATGAAAAACATTCAGTACGAATGAAATTGAAATATTTTCAGCATGGTTGGAAATTTAGCCAATCTGCTTCAAAACTGAGATGAGTCCATTCCTTCCTTTAAGTTGTTGCATGTTTCGTAGGTTCTAGTTGGTGGGGTTGATGTTTTTGGTGTAATTAAGAGATCTGGACTTTTTATGGTATCGTATCAAAGGACTTCCGTCAATGCATATCAGTATGAGCAGTTGGTATCCGAGTGAGTTGTGCTTAAGTACGTGAGGCCTCTGCGACACCAGGTGCTAAAACAGCAAGGATGGAGAAACTTTACAACCATGTTTTTAAAAACAACGACCAGATTGAACTCTCAGTTCTATAGATCTCAAAACAGTGTAATCTTAGTTATAGACAGCAAACCAAAAGCAATTTATGCTTACAAAATCAGGACTCAGAAGTCTGCACTAGCATGTTTAAATACTGAAAACATCTGGAGAATTTATGTAATGTAAGTGTTGTCCTACCCATGTGTTTGCATAACTACGATTCCTGAAAGTTCAATTTGGATCGCGATATTAAATAGAGCTGAACATTTGCTGATTTTATTCGCAGGAAAGAAAAACACAGGGAGAAGCACAAAACACCACAGCAACCGATGACACACTTTGGATAGAACCACAACTTACGCATTTCCAGCTCATGGACTAGTCTGGCATCAGCCTTAAAATTGACATAATTTTTATGTGACACAATATATTCGAAGTTTCGCAGCAGTTTCGATTCGGTTTAAAACCTCTAGATAGCCTTTGGTGTTGAGATAGCATTAGAGATCCTTACGTTTACGCGTGGCTGAAAATAGTTAACGGAAACTTCGTCAAACAGTAAATTTCAACATATTGAAATTCTCATGTCAAGTAGGAGAAATTGTAGTTTAACGAGAGAAAAAGTCTCACCTTGGAGTGCTTCTGTGGCGAAGAACCTCACATCAACATCCGCATCTTCATTCAACTTCTCCAACACAGTCTTCATCTGGTTTAATTGTGACGCACTTAGCTTCGAGCCATTTCCGCCACTGAAACAGGCAAAAGGTCAATCGAGGCCAACCCTACCAACAATCACCCGTGTGTATGTAGGAAACCTCTTACCGTAGTGACTACAAACTAAAAGGAAGGTCTAACAGAATTGAGATCCGAATAGTCGCAATATAAGAGTTTGTGACGTTCGGTTGAAATATATAAACTTGCCACGAGGCTTTGGTGTGTGTTGGGGACAACGAAGAAACAAATTCGATGCTGTGTTTTTAGAGGTCTATTTTAGTATGAAAGACAGAAAATGAGAAATAAGAGTAAGTTCCCAGAGTGTAGGCATCTAGTAGGTACTTAACCCTTTCGTCTTGCTCGATCTAGTCGCAAACAAATTCCAGTTTACAGATATTCGTAAGAAATATTCCAAACAGTAATCATAAGTACAACTACAAGTTCATAAATTTTTATTCAAATAGACAATAATTACCAACAGTTGCAAATAATTACCAAAGCAACAAATTTATCAACACTACCAAACCAATAATTACCAAGGCAAACAATTTATTTACCACAATAGGAAACTTTTTTAGAACGCTGAGCTTTCACCTGTTGATCTAGAACTCTCAACTAGAACAGTGGTTGTTAACAACAACTTTATCAAAAGAGAATCGAATAAATTCAGACCTTGAGTTCTTGAGGACATTGCAAATGATGTGGATGGTCTTGCAAACATTGAATCTGACATTGGGGACCTGGTCATTTGCCATCTGGTACACAATTGGCAACATGTTCTCTTCCACCAGTTGGGCTTCACAAACCTCAGCTAACACATTTATGCAGAAGAGACACGTCATCCTATGCAGGTAGTTCTGATCATTTGACATCTGGACTATCTTGGGCAGGACAGACGCTCTAGCCCAGTTGCTCCCAAAGATGGCCACTAGTCGTTTGAGATTGTTAGTTGCCGCTTCACGCACAGCGAACACTGAAATATGATTGAGCATTCCAATTCACCCCCACTAGTAACACAGGATTAATAGCAGTTTATATAGTCGGTGGCATAATATCTTTCTGATTGGATTAGATATACTGCAGGAAGTCTTTAGACTAATTTATTGGCCATATTTATAAATCAATTTAGAATACTCCAGCTCAATATTTAATTGAAGCCGGGCCGAGCAAAATTATTCCACTCAAACATTTCAACCACTCATTTTTTGTTTATTTTCTAAACGTACTTAATCTTATTAACCAAACTTACATTTAAGTTCAACTATAAGTTTAAAATCTTTGAATTCGAATACCAGGAAAATACAACCAGAAAATGTTCGCTAAACAAATCGTCAACAAAACAGACATTACAAATTCACCATTTTGGCAAGAATTTAAGGGACAAGAAATAATTTCTCGATGTTACAGATTTTTTAATCAGATGAAATAGCTCAGATAACTAAATCAGTAACAAAGATCGGACGGCTAACGAGCCTATAAGGTTTGCCAAGTGCTGCCCTGGATTTGTTTGAAACCAATTTAGATACACCAGATAAGAAAACTTAGATACACAAATAACAAGCCTAAATGCAACAGCTGAAGAAAAAGATCTTGCAAATGCCAAAAAACATACATAAAAAGGTATGTGGCACCATTTCAACAAGTTGTGCATCTACTAAACAACAGATGGTTCGATTTGAATGACATTAGTTTTACTGTAGAATAAAAAAAACTCAGTTACAAGGTATAAAAACTACTTCTTTTGCTGACTAAATTTGAAAACTCGCTAAACGTAGGCACATTTAACCGGTTAAGTTACACAAATTTGAACTAGTATAAAAACAACAGTTGAACTATTAGAAAAGATCCTGCAGTCATAAATCCCTGTTCATTGCTTTGTAATAACTCTGAGAAAAATTATCAGAAAAAAAGTAACCGTTTCGTTGAAAGCTACGAAATAATATCGCGAATCTTTCAAAACTCAGCAAATGTGAAGTCAAAGCATTCCAACATATGCCAATTTGATGAATGAGGGCGAGCAAAAAAAGCAACACTTAGAAAAAAATTACACACCACCAGACATTTGTAACAGAATCAATAAACGAAGAGAAACAAAAAAACTGACTCATTTTTCAGCAACTTCAACTTTCGAATTTCAAAAAGAAGTTATATAACTTCAATGCTCTTTGAATTTCGAGAACAATTTATGATTGAACTTATTTGATTAATTTTAACTAAACTTGAGAAAACTGGATCAATAGAGAATTCTTATTCTGCTGGGAAATCTGAAAACTAAATTCCACTTCGAAGGTAGAAGTCCTTCTCATTTTTAGATTTTTGCTGTTTCAAGAATTCATACTTTCGAAACAAATTTTACACAGAGGCGAAGCATTGCTTCGCAAAACTTTGCGAGAACACGGCAACAAGCACCTCTATAAGGTGCAAGAATAATAATAAAAATAAGAAACAAGCCTCGAATTAATTATATTTCGGCTACCTCTGAGATTCAAACCTGCGACCTAAATATTAATCGAATCACGCACTAACCACTCAGCCACGCAAGCTTAATAGAAACCGAACACTATCCACAAATAAAGCAGAGAACAGATGCTTTTATTTGCGAGTTAGTTTAGAAAAAAAGAAGCTTCTTATAAAACACTAAGCTGATCACTAGTGTAGAAATGGTTTCCAATAAAAGCGTCCGGCATGAAAATCGTAAAAAGGACTAAATCTATTAAGCAGGCTTAAATTGTATATTTTTGAAAATTGATCTCAAGTGTAAATATTGAAAGTAAACAAAGAAGTTCTCACCATGATCTACAAGCCAGGCCTGGCAGAGAGCATTGAGCCTGTCGTCGAAGAACTGCACACCCAACTGCTCGGCCAGAAGGGGCATGTACTCATTGATTGCCAGTCGCACTCGCCACTTGGTATCCTCAGCTAATTCAGTAATGGCTGGCAACAGGCTCTGGGACAGCTGCTGAATGCCTATCACTTTGTTCACAGACTCTAGATTGGAGATGATGTTCAGGCGCACTTCCGCGCAGTCATCCTTCAACTGCGCCAGGAACAGAGGCAGGAGGTGCTCAATTGTGCTAAGAAAATTAAAAATGACCACACGAAATGACAAGCAATGCATATTACAATAGGATATAAACTTACATATCTTTTCCTACGATAGGCGCTAGCCCCATGATAACAGACGCCAAAGCAGTCTTCACGTGCTGGTTTGTGTCGTTCACTAGATCCTGAAATCAATGTTTTTTGAACGATTAGCGCACTTTTGATCAGAAAAAGATACCATGTAAAAAAATTAACTATTGGTTGACCATCAGACATCATGACTTCTCGAATCATACAAAAAAATTACCTTGACACATGGTAGGATGTTGTTCATCACTACAGTCTCTCTTGACGCCGAGGGAAGAGCTTCGGCAAAATCTTTTATCTGCTGTGCCGACATCGACCTGACCTCTGCTTCGTTGTCCTTCAACAATGACTGGAACACGTTCACTAGCTCATTCTTAGTCAACTCTGGACCAAGTGCTTTCTGCAGTTCTGTGAATTTTTCGGCAACCATGTATCTAACTCTCCATGATTTATCCTGGAACAAAAATTGCACTTTCTACATAAATTAAAGAAAAATCAACGATTGGGCACTTCTTACGAACTTAGGCAACAAACTTAGAACCCATGAAAAGTGACTTACATCGCATGCAGACTTGAGAGTCGGTATGACATGTGTTTCTTTGTCTTCGTTTTTGGTCAGCAATCCAGAAATCGCGACACATGCTTCCACGGCTAGAAGTCTAACACTGTCTTGTTCGTCACTCGCCAAATTGGTGAACATAGGAATCACCACATTTTTAAGCGCATCCACTTCTACTACTTTAGCAAACTCGCCTAATTTGCCAGCAGCAGCTCTGCGAACCATTGGAGTATCATCTTGACACAGCTGTTTGAAGCCACTGAAATAAAGAAAATCTAAGAGACAAAAATACACGCTGTTAAGGAGTAATAATCCTGTAAGTGTAAAAAAGACAGCTGGAAAACTGTTTAAAATTTTTCTGAACACATTTTATCTCTATAAACGACACTTTAGTGGACAAAACAAACTCAATTTGAGAACTCTGAATGACTAGAAAGTTTTCTATTTCCGCTTGGAAATCTTAAAATTATAGTACACTTTTAAAATTGTCAATCACTCTTTTCCGCATATACTGGACTTTTGATGCTGGAAAACGTAATTTTTGTTCCATTTAGCAAATTAATTTAACAAAGAAATCACAAATCCAGCCGCGAAGAGATTTCTATCCAAATTTTTTTGCTACAACTCGTCATCAATGACAATGATGACACCACTGGTTTTACTAAAACAGAAGACGTACGCTCTCAATTCTTCCTTCATCGATGCTCCCACATGAGGGTATGAAACACTGTAGAGTCCACATGCAGACGCTCGAGATGTGAACCAGTCTCCTTGAGTAAGACGTTTGATCAAAGGGACGAAAAACTTCTCCATGTGCTCCGAGCTATGGTCAGCAGCAATTTTTCTTAGGGATTCCACAGCTTTATCACGAACCACAGTTTCTTCTACAGTTGCCAAGCTTTCCAAAGGTGTCAGCAGAATGTGAGCATAATCCGCTCCTCCAACAAGAGGAGTAAACGAGCCAAGTTGCTCTGCCAAAGCCAGCAACACTTCATCTTCATCATATATAGTGTCTGTCAAGAAAGGTATCAGTTCGGATCTGGTACGCTCGACGCCCAAAGCCAGACTGATAGTCGACAGTTTTTTAATGGATGTGAGTCTGAGCTAAAACAAAAATTCAAATTAGTACGGTTTTCTTCCCGAATCAGTATCAAATCAAACCATGCCAGAGCAAATCTTACTTGTACATCTTCATTTCTTAGCTCGTCAATTAGTACAGCAATTGGGTAGAGAGCTTCGTCGCCAGTAGTATCTCCCATTTCTATCTAAAAACCATATACGCTTACAATCCGTTCATTTTTTTGTTAAATTTCTTCTTAGAAGGTTAAGAACAACCCTGAAGGTTATGAAAACTATAACAAAAAAGCCAGCTGTGCTAACATTATTATAAAACAAAGATGAAGGTGTAGAATCAATCGTTAAACTAGAAAACAGAAGCTGAAAAGTGAGTCAAGAAAACAGAATACTAAGAAAACCCTATTTGCAGGGAGAAAGCTTCAAAAAAAATATCACAGATCGGAATCACATTAAGGCATTGCCTAATGCTCAGAATTAAACAAAACTGAACAAAAATACTGACTTCACTGGCTCAGTGAATAGGGAAAATGAGCTATTTAAATCTCTAGAACACTGAAAAAAACCAACAGGCAGCTGAAAAGTGCCAATGCACTCAAGGAAACCAAACCAAGGATAAGGGAACATTTATTAGCGTTGTTCCAGTCTCAAAACTTTAGTAATAAGTCAATATGACCGATTTATGCTTACATTCAACTACGATAGTTTTTACGATCGCTCTCAAGTTCTCGCGCGTCAACACGGAGAGTTGCGTTGATCTCTGGCAACTCTTAGGAAACCATGTTGACGTGTTGACTTATACTGTTTTATTATTGTGGTGCATCATCCTGAAGGTTAAGATAGAAGCTCAATCAGTCCTCACTAAATTTGCAGAAACTCCTCGTGTTGTAGCCACCTTGAAACAAACTCATTTGAGAATGATGCTTCGAAATTGGACGCTGTTTTTTGTAACTGATCACTTGATTTATTTCTATCGCTGATCATTTTCTTTAAATTTTAATTGATCACTTGGTTTTTTCATGATCGTTGATTAGTGTCTTTAATTTTTTAATGCTGAAGATGCACAAAATCTGCTCAAATGCTTAAATTGACAATTAATATCCGGCCATGCTAAGGTTGAGTGTTTCAGAGTTGATCAGTGCAAAATTGATCAAGTGTGCCAGTTGGCCATAATCAAGGAAGTTTTTGTTTTAAATTTATTGAAATTAGAATTCAGCCTATCATGAACAACTTTTCGAGACATCTGTAAAACGGAAAATCACAACACCCGAATTAACAATTGCGGGAAAGCTGGGACATTTTGCATGAATTCAAATGGTATTGCAATTGACCTATGGTTAACAAGAGTAGAGCTGACTCGTTGTTGTCAGAGAATACTAAGAGTGATTCCGGAAAGTAGTTCGGCAAAGCCAGTAATTCCTGTGAACAACAGAATAATGTAACATTTGCCCAGAAAGAATATGACGAGGAAAAGTACAGTTAAATCTTATAACAACTGGCTACCGTCAAGATAAAGCCTTAAGTGTTTTCAACCGTCTCTCAGAGCCAATTCACCTGGTCGCCAAACATTTAGTGCTTGTAAAATCAGTCTCTCGATTGTGGCTGTCGCGTTGAGCAGGCCAAAAGGCATCCTTTTTCGTTGAAATAAACCCGGTTCTCAAGCAAATCCCCTTTTCTCCCTATCTTGTTTCTTAAATGGTACCTGCCAGAATGATGATCCTAGATCAAGAATGGTAAGAAAAACTTAGCATCCACCAATTTCGAAAGACTTTCGTCTATTCTTGAGATGTGATAGGAATCCTTCACCGTGACCGATTTCATAGATCGAAAGTCACAGCAGAATCTCATATCATCCCCTTTCTTTTTCAGCCATCACTAGTCAACATGCTCACGGCGATTTAGATGGGTCTATTAAAACATTCACCCGGAAGATACATATCCACGGAAAATAAAGCAAGGTCCTAAGACGACTGGCCAACGTCTAAACAGAGCTTTACATGTTTTTCACCGTCTCTACCAAAGCCAGTTATTTTGGTGGTCTTTCTAACATCGGGTCGACAAAAACGTTACTGTTCTCCGGCTTCGACCAGAACGCTCAAATTAACTTAATTACATGCAAAATCAGTGAGCTCATGGTAGGGTCTCAGTATCCCCAGACCACGAGATCACTCCTAAAATCAGGGCTACTACTACTTCTTGAATTATTTTTGTTTTTGTTCAGTAGATAAAAATCATCATCTCCATCGAAGATGGATCAACCCTTTCTCCCAACTCCTAGCTTCTCATCCTAGCAAAATGAATTCAGATGTTAATCAAATTCAATTCAGGACATAATAGGGAAGCTAAAAGTCTATATAAAATGCTATGAGTTTCAGTCCCGAGACCTCTCCGGATTCTTGAATCCGGGGAAATAAGACCTCTATTTGCCTTCCGGAAGGCTGTCTTCTACCCTTCACCGTTGTTCGCAAGGGCCTTGCAACTATTGTAGCGACACAATAGTTGCAACTCGGAAGGGTCTCTACTATTTCTGCTAGTCTCTAATTCCGATTCTAAGTTTTTCCGTTGTTATCGTCGCCGCAACTCTTGTTGTTGTGTTTTATTTCGGTTTTTCTGCCAAAATGGCCGTTTCTGACGCTTCTCAGAAATATGACGTCATACTTCGAAATTTTAAAAATTTGAAACACCAGAATATTCTAGCCTTCGCCGTTTGGCTACTCGTTCCAATAACAGTGCTAATCCTTCAAAACTGCTAATTCGGAAGGTTAGCTGCTAAAATTTCGAATCTGCATTTTCGTCCATTCTGGTCGAATGTCACATGCTCCCCGGACAGTCCGGTCAATGTCCCCTTTGAATCTCGCAATGTTCGTAAAATTGGTACAGTGCAATCGAACAGAATTTACAAAATACACGAAATTACTTTTATCCGCGTCATATCGACTCACTGCAGAATATAAATGGCATCATACTACATCACTATAGCCTTCCAATTTTTTCACTAATCTGCCTATTGAGGATATGACCTAAGGTAAAAACATCTTTTCTGACTTCCAATGTCCATGTCTTGATTTAAAACTTTTTCTCCTAGATTTTAAAAGATGTTGGTTTGCAGGACAGTCCTGTCAGCCAACAAGCTAAAATTATCCTACCATGCTTCTTCCTTTCGGAAATCTTGCTTGTTATTGTCCTGAATATTAAAACTAAGGAGCTCTGTGGTTAGAAAGAACAATGAAACAATCTCTCTCTTCAAGAGATTACCCAAGCCTTTCATGTCACCACAAAGTGATCAGTTCTCCTAGTTGATTAAAAACAGTCATTCAGGCTGGAATATTTGAATATACTCTTTACTCAAGCCTTTATAAATAAGTAGTAAGTGTCTCTAAAGCAAATTTATAAATGCAACAAATTCTTTAATGTTCAAACCTCAACTAAATGTTTCAGTTTTCAATTACAACTTGGTTGCATGTTTTCTCACTTGAGTTTTTCACACACACATAAAACAATTCTGAGTTTTAACTTCTTCTTTTTCGTCACTCCTTTGTTTCTCTTATTTTCGTCGCTTAGAAATTCTAAAACTTCTAAACTCTTCTAATTTTTATTCTTTTTGCATCTTGTTCTTTCGACCATTTGTCAATGTTCCATCTCTTCCTCCTGTGATACTGACTCTGCACTTTCAGTTTCTGTGTCTTGCAACACATCGTTAGCTATTCTGACGCTGTTGGAAGCAGTCCTCCAACACTTCTGCTCTTCTACCCTCTGTTTGCAACAAGGTAGGGGATCCAAGTTAGATTCTCTGTTCCTGCAGAAGCTGTGTGGAGACACAACGTCACGTTTCTCTCCAAATCTTCCTTCAACATCTCTTCCTTCTCCTTTCCACTACGTTCACTTGTCCTGCCGTGCTTCGACATGCTTTTTGGCAAATTCGTACAACCATGCAGTCATGTTAGCTCTGAACCATGGCATCAGTCGTCTTCTCGCCCATATCTTTTTCACTTCCATCGGAATGTTTAGAATTTTGCACATTGTCTCAAAAAGATCTAAATCTTTTAGACAATCCAATTTCTGCAACTGTTCTCTCGTTGGCGCTTCCTGTCTATTGTTCTCTCTCACAAGAGCTTCCAGCCATCGTATCGCCATCATAACTCCCACTATCACTATTGTTTTGTGCCGTGATGAGTCTGGTAAACCCATGGAGAGCAGCTCTCCAGAGTCCCAGATCAACACCAGATTACTACGCTCGGATACCACCAGGTCTGCAGCAAGCAGTGGCAGGGAAACTCGTCATGTGTCAACATGATGCTCCTCCAATTACGTTTTCCCGAAGCTTCCAGTAATGGTTCCACTTCCATCATCACTCGGTGGACTTCATCATTCTCGTCTACTGTATTGTAATCTGTAACGGTTGATCCTCTCTGTTTCTGTCTCTCAAAGTCACTGAAGTTCCCACTCACGTATCCCATGAACTTCCTTCCCAGTATCGATTCCAACTCCTCCTTTGTTCTCTCTGGAACTGCTGAGAACATCTTACATAGCAACTCGTAAAATTTTTTGGACGTTCTCGTTAGTCTCACACACTTTGGCACTGAGAAGGCTTGATCCACGATCGTTCTCGTACTCTTTACACCCACAGCTACGAAAAGCACCGGGTATCTGCTCTTGCACATTGGAGCCAATGTCGATCCCACCAAATATCGTGCTCCTGATGGTCTACAATAAGTCTCACTGTGTCTGATGTTCATTTCCGCCTCGATCGCTTCCCTCCATTTTCCTATGTGCTTCTGCTCAGTTTGCAAAACTCCTGGGAACACTTCTACACTGATGGCTGTGACCATCTCATGTCTCTGTTCTAGATTCAATAGTGACTCTAAAGAACCAAACATGCTGTAGAATCCTAGTGCAGTCACTAGATTCACCTCGGTTCCTCCATGGCAATCTGCGATCAGTTCCGTTTCCGTCCTTGCTTTCATCACGACATTCCCAAACAATATCGTCAATTGCTTGTGTTGTCTCTCTAGGGTTTTCACACAATCCAGACCTCCACAAACGTGACCTTCCAGTCCACAGACTTCCGCCAGACAGCTACCAGGTTTGACCCAGTCTTCTGGTCCCCAGCCAGGCAACTCCACTTTGTCTTCCTCGTTGCTCCTAGAGGCTGTTATCATCACATTATATATGATGTTAAGGTCACGCAGGTTAC